ATCTAGAATCACCTCGACTCATAGCTTACAAATGCGCTAAGAGGGCCTCTGATTAGCGCTACAAACACCTAGTGGTTAGCAAAATAAAGTAAAGTAATAAATGAAAACCTTGTACCCATCATAGAGCACAAATGATGATGTTCTGACCTAGATATGACAATGTCTTTTAAAGATGCTTGAATTTTCTCTGATCCATTTTTGTTAGGCCATATTTCCATACGTATCATACTCCAAGCATGCAAAGTCTCTATATTTTGTCAGGCCGTTTTTTACTTGAAAATAAAGTGACCTTAGCCCGGCCTTAACCATTAAGCTAAGAATAAAACGATTGTTAAAAGACGATTCACGTCTGGCCTTTGAATAGGCTGAATAGCTCTCGCAAATACACATCACTACGCCAACATGACCATGCATACATAAGCTTTCGTGCCGCAGTGAGCACCGTCCTGGCGACTTGTGATCCACCAGAGAACTTAAGTACTTTAGAACTGAATAAATGGAACTATCCAACAAAGAGGGAATCCACAGTCAGAACAGGTGGATGACAAAAAAATTATCGTTGTTGTTTAAATGATATATTCCACACGAGACATGCGATGATGCCAATAGGGCCCACCATTTTGGACGTGAGAGTATTAGGACTGGACCGAGTTTCCACCCTTCCCCCTATTCAAGCGTAAATTTTAGTGTCCTTATCAGTTATTTAAAGTGTAGCGATGAGAAGTTTCAGGATAATTTTACGATGGCGCTTTCTTCCTTTGGAAGGATAAATGATCATTGCGGTGCCTTGTCATGGGCTCTGCACGAAACAAGAATGACTCGCGATATTGACATGACTGTTTGGTTAAAACACAAGTACAACGGGTCAAGTGCATCGGGCGAGAGGAAGACCGGGTGATACCAAAGCTACAAGTACAGGTAATTCAAAATATAAGAAATGGCTCATATACGTGCATAAATGTAGCAGGTGGCTTTTCAAGTGCCACTCTCGCTAAGAGCGGTCCTCTCAACTTCCCATCCAAAAAAAATTCTCCTTAATTTTTTTTCCCTATGAAGAGGATTTAGGACACACGTTTCAGAATTGGTTTGGTTGCTTTCCAATTCTCTTTTGTATGAAGATTTCAACTTTCGCGAACTCTTTGCCAAGGGAAGATTAGTCAAGGTGTTGCAAAAGCAAAAATTCAGTCAACTACTGTCATCGTGCGAGTTTTTCTACGTTCAAATTATAGGTAGTGCTAATCCTAAGCCTTAGTATTTCGAACCTCTTCTACAGTTAGCAAATTCCTGTGATTACCGCAAGTGATGCTCGATAAACGTGCGTTACTCAAAACTCAGAGAAGGTTGCGTGACTCCTCTACTAGGTCCAGTCCTCTCACTCTCACGTCCAACATGGTGGGCTAGTCGATATAATAACAGTCGCATCTCCAGGTGTTGAGAGGCATGTTTCACATAAACTGCAACACAAAATATTTCTTCTCTAGCTCTTCTAACTTTGGATTTCTCAATTACTGTCGGATGATTTGATTTAGTAACTTCTAACGTACCAGGGAAATCGGATGGATCACAAGTCGCCTGGACGCTACTCACTACAACTTGTATGTATCATCCTGCTCTTTTACTGATGCCGTCATGCGTATTTACTAGAGCTAGCAAGGCTATCAAAAGTTTAACCATAGATCGTCTGTTAAAGATCGTTTTCGTTAAGCTCACTTCATATTGCATCAATAAATGGGTCCGACAAAATATAGAGACTTTGCATGCTTGTGGCTATAGTATGTATGGAAATATGACCTGAAAAATATAAATCAGAGGAAATTCAAGCATCACTAAAAAATATTGTCATATATAGGTGAGGATATCACCATTTGTGCTAAATGAAGGGTACTAGGTTCAAAAAGAAAAAATTACCTATATTTGCTAAACCCGGATGTATGTAGTGCTAATCAGAGGCCTTCTTAAAGCATCTAGATAATGACACTTGATTGGCTTTAGTGTTTCATTTTCACTCACCCAATACAAAATAAAGTCCTTATGTCAAGAATTTGGACTGTTTATAGCATGAATTATGTTCAAAACTCCATTTTGCTTGGCCTTAGAGGGGCATGGATTGATTTGGTATGAAAGTTATGCAAGCAGGCAGGCGAGTGTAATTGTTTTTTGAAAAATGGCAATTTTGGATAATGGTTTTGACCTCAAATTTGACCTGACTTTAGCCCCAGGCCGCTCTCTGTCTAATCACTTGAGCGCAAAGTTATAATTATGAAGTAAAAGGTCCACTATAGTAGAGTTCATAGTCAAATTCGTTTGGCAGCACAAAATACCAGTGGAGTTTTATAGCACTTTCAAAATGCCAACTAGAAGGATGAATTTCTGGTGCTCCACAGGTCACAAATTAGGGACCCCCAAAACTCCAGAACAAACAGTCAGAGAAGTGAGCCAAAGTGGCTTTCGAAATATCTTATCACACTCAACTTTTGTACCAAGTATGAGCCGAATCGATTGACCACCACTTTTGGCCCCGGGAACACTTTCTCAGGCAGGGAAACTTAAAAAAAAAATCGCGCACATTCTCCTCTCTCTCCTTTCCACCATTTATTTGAATGAAAGACATAACTAATCCCGCTTTATCAAATTTATTTTGTTTGGTGATCCTTGATTTGTCACAACACAAACTATAATGGTTCAGAATACACTGAACTCACAATGGGTTAAAGTAAGATTCTAAAACTGAATAAAGGAAATCCCTGTGTCACTCCAGTGACTTGTTTTGTACCGTTGCTTTACGTAACAATATTTCTTCCAAGCAGTCAAACTCCTTGAGGAGACAAAAGAAAACAGAAACTAGCTTATCATGGACAACACATTGTTTACACAAAGGGGATCTCAGAACATCCAATGTAAACGATAAATTTCCATGTTGGCATAACTGACTATGATCTACTAATCAGAGAACTGAGGATGCGTTTTAAATGGATGTGTGCTGATGTCCCGATTCTAGAGCTTCACTGAAATTGCGTGATGAGCATGAGGTTTTTAAGGCTGTTGTCGATCGGGATTCATAAAACAATGTCTAGTGACCAAATGTATAAAGGGGGTAAGTTTCTAGAGAAACTGTGGTGCTGCGTCGGCGGGGGTAACAAGGTAAGTTGGTAATATCAACTAAGTTGAAATTGTAAATTGGCCACAGTAAAGAGTTAAAAATCTGACGTTTAGAGCGTTAGCCTTTCGTCTTTCGCTCTGACGAAGGGCTAACGCTCTAAACGTAAGCTTTCTTACTCTTTATGGTAGCCAATTTACAGTTTGAAGCTAGTTGATATTACTAAATTATCTACTCACCAAAAGTTGATAATTAAGGCAGTAAGAATAATGTTTCAAATCTTCCAGAAAGGAAGTCTCAGATTCATGGCGAAGGCTAAAACTTTCCAATTCGAGAAGTTTGAAATCTTCGCACATTATTTTTAAATAGAAACGAAATATTTTACAGTTTTCACACTTTTTTCCACACAATTATCAAGTAAATGCCTCGTTCCGGGCACTTACGTCTTAGGGTGTATTCAGGGTTTGGACTGAGAGACAAAAGTTTGTTTTGTTTAGTCCGAGGACGATCCTTATAAACGCTGTATCGAGATTTGAATTTAAAACCATCTTTTTTTAAACCCTGGATAGTTGATAAAAGGTCTTTTCCCAGGTCATTTGGGACTGGTGCATTTCAATCCATTTTGAACGTCTGCGATTTCAACATAAAAAATAAACAAAGAATAAAACGAACTCAAAACAACAGAAAGTAGCAACAAAAAATACAAAAAAAAATTATAGATAAAAATAAGATCGAATTATTTTATAACTTTCATTCCATGGTCTTTATGCTGAACTTTATTACCTAATCCACTTCCACCGGAAATTTGAACGTTCAAAGTGAGTTGCTTCGTATCTGATCCAAACTTGTTGGTGGCAGTGCAGAAGTATAGTCCAGCGTCATGTTCTGTCGCACTGAGAATTATGTAGCGTACACCGGTCACGGCATCACCTGACTTGATATCCTCTACACTGACAGACCCTCCGAAACCATCTGAAAATAAGCGATATTACCGCACAATTAAGTTCTTCAGATAAATTTCATAGCAGAGCTATTTTTAACATTTCTTTAAAACACTCTCCATAACAGGTTTCGTATGAACAGGATTCAACGCTGATTCAGTGTCAATCAACTTCGTACTCAGACCTCAGTCATCGCGTCTATGTTGGACTGAAAATTGTGTAAAATGGTAATTGTTTTGATTTGGGTTGTCATTCAAAGCAGTTGGCTGGTCAATGATGTGGTTGGTTGATACTGCTCTTAGTAATGTTATTCTATATAAGCTACGTCAGTTGTTTAGGTATGCCAAAAAAATCATTCGACTCAAGCTCTCACATCACACCTGGTACTGGGTTTGTCTTTTTTACTACGAATGTAGGTTCCGGTGTTCCAGACGCCATACACTGAAATTCAACTTTGCCATTTTCAGCCACATCGACGATCATGGTAGGAGGTCCAAAGGAAGAAATTGTTGCTGTTACTAGAAAGATAATAATAGTAGCGTTTTAATTTGATAATCATATCACCTGTTTGTGTCTATTCCGCCAGTAGGGTACAGACAAGGGGGAAAAAAATTCAAAGGGGGTAAAAGAGATCATTACTAAGAAATGGAAGTGGGTTTATGAAGTGAAAGAGAGGCCAAGGGAAAAGTAGTGACTGCAACAACAACATCCCAACATCCCTATTCTAGCAGTATGCAGAAAATTCGTCGCCATGGACTCAGTTAAACAACCTAGCCTGCGCTGAGTCTCCTACAGCTCTGTGGTAGAGCATCCAAAATAATTATTGTAAAGTCCCATAGGTTCGACTCTTTTTGCGAGCACTTGTACATCTGTTTTTCCCAATATGCCGTTGTCACTGAGTAACATCATGTTTCAAAATAACTTTAACTGAGAAAGCTACCTAATGGCTTCAGAAACAAATAGATTTGATCGCTGTTACCTCCACAGTCACCCAAGGAGGTTGATCCCTTCGAAATTGTAGTGAGTCCATTCGGGCATTGCTTGCACTGTGTGGCGCCATATTGATCTTGATAGAATCCAATGTTGCAAAGATGACACGTATGTTTGTCAGGAGAATCGAACCCATCTCCTGATGACTTCCCTTTGTCGCAAAGATCTTGACAGAAAGACAGAAGTTCCAAAGAATATTATCAATAGCTCCACAGCGAAAGCAACATTGATGAAAACATTGTCAGTAGTGACTATGATACATTTATATAACAGTCTGCAATAACTAAAGCAATCTATACAAATCGGTGATTCAATAAATCAATAATGAGTTCAGGAAAAACCAAAGCAGCTGAAGAACTGAAGAACTAGGAAAACAAACAGACAAGCAAGTATTCAAGGAAGAAAGAGAAAGAACAGCAATAACTATAGCACTAACACCCAAACTATTATGCTTACCTTCGCATGTTTTCGATCCCTCCTTTCTGGTGCTTTTTTTTTCTGGACACTTGATGCAACTCAGGCTTGATTCCTGTTTACTCGTGTAACCGATAGAGCATGGTATGCAGTCTTTTTGTGACCCCTCGTATTTCATTCCTCGAGGACATTTAACTGAAAATTTTCAGGTATTACGGGAAAAATAAGGTCGAATGGAATGATATTTTCAATCGTAACTTGATGAGACCGACTGTGGCACTGTCTGTGACTGATAGGTTTTTTAGAGGGCTAATTTTCGTCTTTGATTTGTGTGGGAACACAAAGGAAATTTGTCTCATTTTTACGAGCTCGCACCCTGGATCGTGTCCGCTGACACACAGTAGAAATATATCGTAAAGTCTGAATTGATTGAAAAGTGCTCTCGGAGAAGTACAGAAAGTATCACAGGAAAGTGCCTATTCCATCCAATTCATTGTATATCCAAGACTTAAGGCCTATTATAATGACCTACCGCATGGCTGAAGTGGATTTTTTACACCTATGAGGGAGGGCTGCGGAATTGTCTGAGAAGGGCACGATGTATTTGAAGGCATGGTGACAAAGTCTGATGAGGCAAACAGCAGTAATACAAAGTCAGCGGTATCATACAGTAGCAACACTGACGCTTTTTTTTCCGTTTATATTAGAGTCATACTTAGTTTGGTGCTATCCAGTAAGCAGAAGTTGCGATGTAATACCCATAATTGATGTTCCATGTTTACATCATTTTACCATTTTAGGGAAATGGAACGCAGAAAATATGTTACTGCATCACATTCTATAGATTGTGAGTATATTATGTTTTTTTTTTTCTTCTCGACGCTACGGGTCTCTGAAAAATGATACGGAACTCGCAACATCTCCGGACATATATCTGTTAAACCATCGAACAAGGAGTATTGATGATAATTCATTATTTAACGCGAGGTTCCCACATTATTACTGCCTAATTTCATCCACAAGAATTTTGACTTAAGGTTACCGTCCACCTTCAGGGGTGTCTCGCGTGCAAGCGATAGCGCGTCCGGTTTAAACTGTAGATATCTAAACCCCTATATCATATTCAAGCTTGTAGGACTGGCTATCAGATTATACCAAAAATTTTGAAAAAAAATTAATTGTCGAGTTTTCCACGACTTCTAAATGCGAGCGCCCGAATCACCTTTGAAGAGCTACAAGTCAAATGGAATTTGTTCGATTGCTCTCAAATTTTGACAGGTGGCTAGTTTTACATCTAAGCAGCAAAAACGTGTCAAAAACAGTTTTTTTATTTCTAAATACTTTTTTTTTCAATAGCGATTTTTTTACGATCACTCCACATTGTTTTCATCCTATGTCAAAAATGTTCTGTAACTTTTCACTAAAATTGAATATGGTAAATCGCAGATACGTTTTTTTAGCGCTTTGGCCCCGGAAACGGAGGAACACATCAAATAAGCGAAAAACAAAAATTCGTTTTGACATGTAACGTTCAAAAGGTGATTCAAGCGCTCGCATTTAGAAGTCGTAAAAAGTTCGACAAAATTTTTGTTACAGTCTGATATAAGCTTTAATTTTATATAGGGGTTGAGATATCTACAGTTTAAAGCGGATGCGCTACATCGCTTGCACGCGAGAAACTCCTGAAGGTGTACGGTAACCTTAAGTCTGATTAATAGGCATTTAGGGTTGTGTATGAGTTTACTGCAATCTCATTTGCTGCCCTGCCACCCAAGGGCTGGACCAGCTTGATTGATCTAAGATTGGTATCTCTGCACTGCGTACAAAGAACTTTAAGGCGTTATTTAAGCCCTCTCTTATTGTTCTTACCAACACAGTCGATTACAACCTCTTGGGGTGTCCATATCAACGAACTTGGATTGCAGCTTGACCCAAAAGTGTACTTGAACAACTGTTTGTCAGCGTTACATATGACTGAACAGTAAATGTAGTCTCCGAATGTTTTGCAGTCCAATTTCCCATTGTCAGGCTGTTCGTTTGGTTCTTCACACTTCTTCCCTGCAAGTGAATAAAAGTTAGACAAGGGGGCCCATTTCTCGAACGTCGTGGTAACCTATTGGGTCCGAAGTTATATTTCAAAATCAAAATTTTGAGTAAAGAGAAGTAAGTGATAGCACTCGAAACCAATCCGTTTTGTTTACAAGCTGATAGTGTAATTTTATGATTTCAAAACTTTTGAAACAACGCAAATTGAAAACAAAAACAATAACAGAAATAATAATGGTTACAGAGACTCACGCGTCAGTTTCACTACGAAAGAGCAGCCCTCTTTATTCCCCGCGGCGTCAAACGCTTCATAGAGTACCGTATACGATCCAATTTGAAACGTGTCGCCAGGCTTCTTTGTCGAGGTCACTTTTACAACCCCGACGTTGTCTGTAAAGCTTGGCTCTGGCCATGTAATGGGAGCTTCCGAACCTGATACAGCTACATATACATCTTCCGTGCAGTATGTAATGGTTGGTTTTTGTTGATCTGAGAAAAAGGGAAAAGAGAGAGGTATGTGAGTCTTTCAGAGGGCGGAGTAAAGAAGGTTCTTTCTCCGGATTTCCTGAAACAGTAACTTCGCAAAGAAAAAAATTTGAAGCTTTCTTGCCTTGTATGGTCACAACTGTGGTACAATTCGCAGTTTCACCGATTTCGTTACTGGCGACATAAGTAAGCATGGTTGATCCCGATGGGAACAACATACTGCTTCGGTACTTTTCTGGAAACATCTGGATATCTTTGACATTAGACTGAGGTTGACCGAGCAACCCAGTGATATTGTGTTCCTTAGTGTTTGGTGCAAGAACTGCAACGATGTCTGCAGGGCAAGTGATCCATGGCTTGGGATAGTCTACAAAATAAATCACCCTATTATACAACAGCAGCAAAACCAATAGCATTGTAAAAAACTGATCTTTTGACGAGTTGCGCTTAAGCGCATTAAAGCAAATAAAAAAGGCAAAATAGGAAAAATCACGAAAACAAACCAACTAGCAAATCTATAAATAGAAATAATAGAAGGGGTAAGTTTTTAAAGAAACTGTGGTGCTGCGTCAGCGGGGATAACAAGGTAATTTGATTTTATCAACTGTGTACCGTAAGGGTTTAAAAGCTGACGTTTCGAGCTTTAGCCCTTAGTCAGAGCGAATGACGGCGGGCAATTTACACTATCAACCCAGTTGATAAAACCAATTTACTATGGATAAATATCCATCTAGAAATTTTAGAACATTGCTTAGCCTTCTTCCCCTTTGCCGTTAGCGTATTTACCTTTATTACAACTTGGTGTAGTTTGGTCGTCCCACTGTCCATTCGCTTGGCATGTTTTCGTACCCACACCGGTCAATCTGTAACCGGAATCGCAACTGTAAACGCAACTGCTGCCAAAACTATTTCCAGAAATTGGGCAAATGCTCGGAAGTAGTTCCCCGTTTCCTATAGGGGGTAGGGCTGGACATGTTACGCCTGGATAGAAAAGATGCTACGTAAGCAATAGAATAGAATACATTCTCCCAAGTATAATTTCATGCCAGGAGAACACCTAATGTGTGCATGACTTCTGACATTCCACATGAATTTATTTCATATATAAATGATCTGCACTATATATATCTGTTCTAGAATATAACATGTTTTCCTACGAACCATAAAAAAAAACAAACAAACAAACAAGCAAACAAGTTAAAGAAAGAAATAGGCCATGATTTTTCTACTCGTTTATTTCCACGAGTATGAGCATGAAAACCATTTTTTTTCATAATGACCGTTTATTTCATCAAACTGTTGCCTTTATTTAAAAAAAAAAACTGCGCTCCAAACAATCTGGTTTGATTTAGTTAAATTTATTTTTCTGAACATACATTGTTGTGAACAGTGTCAAGAAGGACATCCATTTCATTAAAAATCAACTCTCTTAAAGAGAATACTTGAGACCCACCGCTTGCGTAAAAACATGGTTTGGGTTAGACCTTGTGTAAATAACCAGCCCTCATTTATTATTTCTATAGGCGAATAGCCTTTACTCAAGTTAATTGAACTAAGTATTAGTTGCTTGACCTTTAAGACTGAAGCGCATTAATATTTAAGAGTAGCTATAACAGGATTAACTAATACACTACTACTACTAATACTACTACTGCTACTACTACTACTACTACTACTACTACTACTACTTCTACTGCTGCTGCTGCTTCTGCTGCTACTAATTTAAAATAATTAGAAAAAAAATGTATAAAGTATATGGCAAATGAAAACAAACTAAACAAAATAAACAACTACTCCCACCATGAAAGAAACACTCTTAGAAAAAAAGAAACAGCCAGGAATGGCAAATTACTTCCGTTTAATTTAGCTGTGCACTATTAACATCAAACCTCTTATGCATCCCTACATTCCCAGTCGACATTTTAACACTAAAAATTATACTTCGAGACCTACGTTGGCAGTTTATGATAGGAGCATCCCATGAACCCGTTTCTATACAGGTGAGGGTGTCTTTATTAGGATCTGGAAGCTCGTAGCCATCGCTACAACTAAACTTGCATGTCTCATTCACTTTCCTGCCGCCGACGACTAAGCATTGGGACTTAGGACTCACAGATGTGCCCATAGACTCCAACAGGGCTGGGCAAGTGATGTCTACAAAAGAAACGAAAACATTTTATTACATAAATGCGACGTTTTACAAGGATTTCTAGCCCTGAGAAAAGCCGCAAATTCACAAGTATAAAATTATGAATTTTTAGGGGTGTTTGACTTCGCCAATCAGCCGCTGACATACCGCCTGTCTTTTGCAACACTCTGTTTGGTCGATGAATGAATGACAAAGCATTCACCATTCTCATTTCAAGATTTTTTGCGGAAAAAACCGAGAGTACTTGGTTCTGGTAATGGCATTTTTTGGCTATGTGTTACTCTCTACTTATTTTGTATCCTGAGGCAAAATTAAGATCAATGACGACTCGGTCGCTCGCATTTTCCCGCGCTTTAGGCAGTTTGGTCGGTTTTACTTTGAGTTCTTATTACCTCTTAAGGTTTTTCCTTTATTTTACATTTCAAAATAGCCGTTGTGATCACTTTGGTTTTGCTTTTGTGAAACTCAATCGAAAAGTGGTGTTTATTTAAAATCAAAAATAGTTTTAGTTCTTTACGAGGAGAACGCAAAAAGTCATTCCACATTTCTGAGAAACGTTAAAAGACCATTCGTATAGGGTACATGTACTCAATAAATGAAGATAAAGCTGCCTTCCCTCTGGTTAAGGGAAGAGCAAATAAGATTACGAAAGGAAGCAAAGCGAGCTAATGATCAATGTTTTGATACACTGTACTAAGCCGGCTAAGGGCAGGTAGATGAAAGTTCCAAGATTACGAATCGGTCTTCCAGTAATGCATTGGTCGAAAAGGTGAAATGCATTATTTCCGTCTTTGTTGCTTTTAGCCAATGAGAGAGCAAAATGAAGTAAATTAAATCAAATTTTGGATCACTTTCAACGCTTGATTCAAACTCAATCCAACAAGAGCATGAGTGTTAGCACTTACAGTCACAATTGTAGGAGTCTCCTTGTTTGTATTTGAAGCCACTCTTGCAAGGACATTCGTATCTTCCTTGATAATTTCGGCAGCTTGTAGAGGTGTCGTTACATTGGTCAATATTTCGAGAGCATTCGTCAATGTCTATAAGTACATATCACGTTAAACATTAAGTAACGTAAACCATCAATTGCACTGCACGTTTGGCTCATCGCCTTGATAAAAGGAATGTAGGGAAAGATAGGAATTATAATTATTCCGTTTGGAAACAAAATATGAGAAATACAATCCAGGTCTAACTATAAAAAGTTACGATAAATTGAGGAGGTGGGTGCTGTTTCTCGAAGACTGTGGTAACTTAAAGGGTTTGTAAACCTATTCTTGTTTCCTTCAAGAGGGCGATTTCAAGAGTTTTCAAAAGTTCTATGATACAACTATCACTTAAAGTAACATAATGGAGTGGTTAGGGGGCCAAAATCTGCCTATTTACATTTTAATTCCAAATATGACCTGGGGCCAGGACTTTTAGTTGCCAGGACTTTCAATAAATGAATTTATTGGAGAGTTTAGGCAGGTCATGGACCCACCTTCCTTACATTGTTGAAAAGATATTTTTAACTGTAGCGGGTGAATCAAAAACGGATAAGGCTCCTGCTTCGTTCTGTTTCGTTTAGTTGTTGTTGTTGTTTTCTTGTCCTCCGATACTGCTTAGGAAACCCATATTTTCATCGAACGTATGCTTATAACCACTTGATGCCAAAGGTGAGTAATCCTTCACTTGCCATACATTGCAATATAATCCTCATATTTACTACTTCTTACCTCGACATCTGTAATTATCGTATAATTCAAAGCCATAGTTACACGAGCAATAATAGCTGCCATTATTGTTGTGGCAGTTAGTCTCACAACCACCATTGGCCAGCAAGCATTCTTTGGAGTCTGATCGAGATGAACAAACCATAACAGTTAAAAATAGGAAGAGCATGTTTTCGTGTGTTTTATAAATGCGTTATTGACCAAGTTTGTTCGGTCAAGATTGCTGAATATTAACCGAGTCCTATTTTGCGTTTTTATGGACTGATACGAGGCTGAGGTGCATAAAAACATAAAAAAGACCGAGTATAATATCCAACCATCTTGAACGAACAAGCTTGGTCAATAAAGGATTTTCTATATAGAAAAAGGCTTCTTTATGATAAAACCAGGAATTACTTGTTTATTTGGAGAGCCGAAAAAAAACAATTACCCGTGTCTGCGCATAATAAGCCCACAAGGCCCCGTTTATGATTTTTTTTTCTTTGATTGTCTTCTCCCGTTTTTTGTGACCCCGTCGCCCAAATTATCCAAAAATTATTAACTTTGTAAGTCCGTTCCACGCAATGTTTTAATTGCGCAGGATCTAAGGGGGCAATCCCGAGCAGGCAAGATGAGCCCATCAATAGTACGTGATAAAGCCACACGGAATGTTGGGATAACGCGAGAAAAGCCTGCTAATCACGAGCGACAAGGCGAGTAGGCGAGTAAGTTTCCTACTTTTTTATCCTTGGGCTTACATGTACATCAATGAGCTGAATATTTATATACCTTTGCAGTTCTTTTGCGATCGGTCCAACTCGAATCCGATAGGGCAAGTGCAGATGTATCTTCCTTGAAGATTCTGGCATCCATAACTACAGCCTCCACTATTAACTTGACATTCATCGATATCTAATACAAAGCAATAAGACAGCTATAGGGATTTGATCATTATTTGTCGCCTAGGAGAAGGGGGGCAGCTCAAGGGAATTTGGATTATGTCAAGATAAACTTAAACGGATCTCCCAAAAGCTTTGTGATATTTTATGACCCCCCCCCCCCCCCTTTTCATTTTCGGTTCATTTGCAGTCAATTTGAATTTCCCCTTCGTTTTCTTTCGCGACAATTTATTTTTGCCTCAAAATCACCCCACCCTGCCCCCCCTTCTTAGCAATAAATGATGCCTGTTCCCTGTATAGGAATCGATTATCGTTCATTTTAAACGTGTTTAACGTTGACACGAGACGCCATAGCAAGTAGGGATGTAAAGTGTTCTAAAGCTCTTGCCTTAGCTAAATTTTTGGGAGAGAGATTGGCATGGAAAGCAATTAGAAGTAGGAACAATGATTAAAGACTCTTACCGACACAAGTATGGTTATCCTCTGAAAGCTCGAATCCCACAGTGCACTCACAATGATAACTTCCAACATTATTTCTGCAAAGCTGATTGCAACCGCCATTGTTGTTGTTGCATTCGTTTATGTCTGAAATTGAAGAGCACGTAACGAATCAGAATCATACAGTTCGTGCTTTCAAAAGTGTTCTCCTAAGAGTATCGAAAACGCTTGAGGATGATTTGTAAACCAATGGTATATATAATCTTTTCAACAACGAAATCACCTACCCTGCTCAAATACTCACTTACATTCTCACTCTCTTTCTTTCTTTTCCTCTCATTCACTCGCTCACTTGCATTATCCGTTCATTTTTTTAGTCACTTAACGTCCATATATAATCTTAATCATTCAATAAACCTTCAATAAAAGATAAAAATTTAATGCATGACCTAACAAATTTGCATTTTGAAGAAAAAAGTTTAGTCTGCAATAATGTACAGTTTCTGATTGGGTGTCAAATGCGATGATCGCTTTGGTTTTGATTTGTAGTTTGTCCAGAAGACTTGCATCAAACACTCTACCAATCAGATCCCAAACCGAATAAAAAAACGCGACTTAATAAATTTGTATATTTAATTTTTGAGTTCTCCTTGGCTGATGATAACGTTAACTTTTATCGTTACTTATCACTGAGATTAATTGAGTTTTGGTTCTTCGACAATCAGTTGAAAATTGCCCTATTGAGATATTTTGTTCTTTACGGTTACCATTGCATTTGTGCTTGTCACTGTCAATTAGGAATCCGCTGCGGCACTTGCACTGATAACTGCCTTTAGAATTCTCACAAATCTGGTCACAGTTGCCATTGTTGGTATCACACTCGTTTACATCTGTTGTTGAATTGAAAAAGAGTACATTGTATAGTAAACAACAATATGTGATAATCAACTTCTATTAATTACTCAGTTGATCAAAATCAATTAACCAACTTAACAAGCAGTGCAACGCACTGTGATTTACATATCTCCTGCACAGTAGTTTAGATCAAGCAAACTCAGACGGGAAAACACTTAACAACATCTGCTCTTTTAATTCTTCCCTAATTTCCAAAGCTCGTTTAGTCCTTTTCTAGCACTTATAGACAGCTGAAAAGAAACACTTAAAATGTCAGCAGATTAAATTCATGTCACTTTAAGCAACATCACCCAGAAAGAAGCAGTAACTATTGCAGCCAAATAATAGCCCATTCCCGAGTTTCCTGTAGCTAGCCTCTTTTTCAAAGCGAGTCCTACTGCTTATCCTTTCGTATGGTAATAACTTTTCATTCACATGCAAATTAAACTCATTTTCATACGCATGGCTGAGCACCAGGCCTTGCTTTGAAAAAGAGACCAAACGTAATTCGGAAATGGCCCATTGTTTATTATTAAAAACTGGATCATCATGGGATAATGTAATTCAAGACCTTTTATCGGCTAAGCCATTATGCTATATGAGCCAATATACAATAATCAAATATCTGTATCTTGTAACATCCGGTTTCTTCTTACAAAAAAAAGTCGAGAAGATTTGTCTAATATCTTGGGGGCGTTTTTTTAAATAAAACAACTCTTCCACTCGTGCTTGTTGGATATGAGATGATTATAACCAACTCGGCGCTACGCCCCTCCTTGGCTATCTATCATCTCATATCCAACGCGCGCTCCTGGAATAATTGTTAAATAGTCTCTGGTGTGGGAAGACTCTATTTAACTCTCCTTGCTTAGCCCTTAAGTCTTTCCCCTTGTCCCACACCAATAATTAACTATGCTTATTTTCCTCAATGCGATTGGCTACGATGCGATACGAGGTCTAAAAAAATCCTTTAAACCCACAGTAAGAGAAAAAAAAAAGTTGAACCCGGTCCAGTTGGTGAAAGGGTGATAAGCAAACAACCAAGGGTCAAATTAATCCCGGTCTCTTCATTCCTTTGTTCATTAGCCATTTGCTGATAACTTTTCGTTATTCTTTTTAGAACATCACTTAAACTGACAGAAACAATTGTACTGTATTTTCTTTTAAGGCCTTTAGATGCAAAATCACATTTCACTCTAACCTTGAGTTATCATAACCCAGCTTTGGAAAACCCACCTCATGTAATCCCAAAAAATGTTAAATAGGAAAAAATGATAGTAACCTTACCAGCACAATTCTTCCCGTCTGCTAGTAGTTTGTATCCAGGCTGACACTTGCATTCCACCCATCGGGTACACAAGAAGTCGATATTGCAGTTAAAGTAACATTTACCGAACAGACAATACTTAGAACGTTGCTCACATATCTGAGAGCAGCCCCCATTGCTTTCACTGCATAGTTCAGGATCCTTTGCTGTATAGTTGAAGGCAAACAATAAATGAATTAGAACAACAGGGCATAGCAAATCGGAAGTAAGATTCTTCGTTTGATGATCATATCTGGGGAAAAAACTTTCTTCACTATATTTTATGTTTGATATTTCTTCACTATATTTCATGTTTGATATTTCTTCAGACTTTGTTGCAATCCTGTCTTCGTGTTTTTGCTTTTATTCCCTTTTTGCTTTAATTTGCCTTTTTTGTTCTTTGGTTTTATCTTTTGTCATTCTTAGGCTTTATGTTTTGTTTGTTTGTTTGTTTGTTTTTGGCTCATCTTGTATTTTGCTTTTGTGTTGCCTCTCTTTTCTAATGCTGTTTATCTTCTTGTTTTAGTTTTGTTGGATTGTTTTTTTGTTTTAATAAATTTCTGCTATCTTTTTATATTTCAAGAAATACTGTAAGCGATAGTTGAGCCGAGTGATAAATTAATAGCTTTGCTTTCACTCGTAGTTTTTCCAAGCAATGTTAAAAAGACCGAAACCTTTGCGTTGTGCAATCACTATGTGTCCCCAGCAGGCATTGCAGCCTCACCTTTACATCCGTAAATTTCAAGCCTCATGCAGGGAAAATTATGAAACTCCAGTGGCTTCAGACGGATGTATTGGGTTCTTATTTCCATCTCAGCCATTGGTTTTGAAACCTGAAAAGAAAAAACTATTATAATAAAAAAAAAAGATAAAGCGAAATAAACGGTAATTATAATAAATAACTGAAGAATAATAACCTCCACGATAAATATATTTCTTAATACTTTTAAATCCGACCCTTTGTAGTACTAGACAATATGGACATACTCGTTCAAATGTGTACGGTATAAGTTCGGTAGCTACATGATAAAAATGTCAGAATTCGGAATAGTTTTTGTCACCTCAATTTAAAATAAACCGAAACTCTAAGAAAAAGCTGCTTGGTTTTATTTGGACTAAATCAGACACTTTTTAACTATTTCAAACTCCCTTAATTGTTTTTGGCCACATTTCACGAAAATTGGTTAAATCTACATACCCTATAAATTCGCTCAAAGTGGATGTATTCCTCTCAAAATCAAATTCGCGATTCTAGCTCCTAATGGCTTCAAAAAAACCAGCACCACATCAGGAGATTATCTCGCCTCCTGAAACCAGGAGCCAATGCAAAGGCGGGACCTTCTGGCGTCAATGACAATGGATCAAGATTTTCCCGGGAAGAGTATAGCATTACAGTCACGCCTCTTTTTTTTTTCCATAACCGGCTTCTCACTTCAGTCTAAAAACGTTAACCGCAAAATTTATTAATCTTACCGCGTCAAAGTCTTCATATGTACCTCCGTCCGAACTGACTTGAATCAGGTACTTAGTTACATGCCTGGCAGTTTCGTTAACAGGCGGGTTCGCCTCGCCGGCTATTTGAATTTTCCTTACAACCTTTCGCTCACCAAAATCAACCTGAAACGTAATTGAGGTTTTTTTTTTCTTAGGATAGGCATTTTTTATTCATGATTACAGTCTTATTTCGGCATGAAATGGATTATTAAACTAAGGAGATGAAACAAGTGAAATTTTAGCGAATTAAACATTTAATAAGTGGGCCCTAAAAGAAAACATCCAAATTTTTCAAAGTTATGCAACGAATCGAAATTTGGCGTCCAATTTTAATTGCCATTGTTCTGGACTCACTAGCCTCGTCTTCACATGGAGACACAAAAGGATTATCACATATGTGAGAGGTTAGTGAGTCCGAATGACGGCAATTCAAATTTGACTCAATATTTTGATTCCGTGTATAGGGATTCAGTCGATGGTTGGTTTACCAATCATACAACTTATGATAACCTTATCACCACAGGTCGAAGGAACTACCAAGAAAACTTGCAATAATAGTTTCTTTTGAAATTGCTACAAGTTATAACATTTTGTCATTTGTTCATCCAAAAGTAAGAGTTAAGCTTCAGCAATTCAGAATAGGCACAAACCTGCAGGTACTCTTTGTCGGTAAAGTTTTGCTTTGGACACCACGCTGTTTTAGAAGACAAAGCTGCGTGCGCAGGGGAATATTGTGGAGAAAGCTGTGACGAAGCCGTTACTGTGCTCATAGAAATAAATCGCTTTGTACATTCTAGAATTCAAATTGTTAGGTTAATGTCCATCATGAAAGATGAGTTTTAATCCATTTAATTTCGTAAATTAAACTTAGAGCTATAAAAATGGAAGCTGTGTTATAAAAAAGTAATAATTGCATGAAGACTCGGAATTTCAAATTTGATCTTAGTGAATATTTCATTTCATCCACGAGTTTTGCCGCTTGCCTATTCCGTTGTTAATTAGCGGGTCATGGTAGGTTGGTCAAACAGAACAGATAAGGATAATTATTCCTACATAAATACGAAATTATTGAAATCATGAATGACGGATGAGAACACACCCATGAGAAACTGTTATCCATGCTATGCCTCTGCGCGTTGGGTTTGCTTAAAATAGGCCTCTTGTAAAATCCTTTCCTTTCGATAAATGTAGCTCTAAATATCGACCTCATGAATTCAACAGAAAAATGATTACTCCAAAATTTCTTTGCCTGAAGGTTTTAGATTCATACGAAGTTTCGCATATAAATATTGGTCATCTATAAAGGTAGTCTATTCATGTCAAATTTTTCTCTTTGTTAAATCAGTCATGTTATATACGAATTCACAGGAGACAAATACTCGGGAAGTGATCTTAATTAGAAGATAATCGAGTTTCCCCTTACAGAATTATAACTTCAGAGCTACCAAATAGATATGTCGCAGCCAAAATCGTATCTTTTCGAGATCTTTACGATTACTGAAACTTGTATACCTACCTCCTCTGCCAAAATGTCCCGTTAAAACAACTACCAGTAATATCAATGAAAAGGATATTCGCATTTTCGTGGTTTGTTGAAAATTAGAAATGACTTTGGTACCAATGATTGTTAAAAAAAAATGAAGGGTGGAGGCAGTAGCTGACTAAGATTATTATTCCTTGGGGAAAAACCTATTCAACGAGTCATCCAGGTGTTTAAACATAAACGGAATTCATGATTAATTTGTGCGATGAAAACCGACTAAATAAAACATATTCATTTGGACGAACCATCACGTTTAAAGTTACACTTGTCTCTACAAGGGTCACAGAACACTACGAAAAGTAAATCGAAAACCTACTTCATATGAAATCACCACATGCTATCTTTGTGGCAAAGCTAGCTGAGACTGAAATCGATTTTGTATGGTTGCGAAGGCCGCATGCTCTTTCGTGGTGATTGATTGATTAAATAATCCATAAATGTATTGGAAGAGAGTAAATAAATTCTTACAAAATATTTGCTTCTGCCATTTGCTTCATTTCAAACTCCTCAATTTCAATAATACGGTGTAAAACAAAGTTGGAAAACTCACTGAAATAGAAAAAAATTTAGTTTTAATTCAAAATGATTTCAAATACAAACAAAACAAAGAAAAACGCGAATAAAAATATTATATTTATTACTACAGCTGAATCGATAGAATTAAAAGAAAGTAAGCAATTTTGATTTAGTGAACGACCAAGGTCTTTCCCTAGCATCGACTAAAATCTAATGATTTTTCAATTCTTTCTGTCTCTTTGTTTTAGCTAAATTTGGCTAGATTATATCTTTAAAGTTGTCTCGAGTACGTTATACAGTCAATTAGGTCATAGTTTTTACAGTGACAGACTAATGACATACAAATAAATAAAGGCTGATAGTTTCGAAAGAAACTGTTTGGAGCTGCGTCAGTGGGAGTAACGAAATAATTTGGATATATCAACAAAGTTGAAATGGTAAATTGGCCACCGTAAAGATAAAAAAGCTGACGTCTCGAGCGTTAGCCCTTCGTCGGAGCTTTTGTAATCGTTACGGTGGCCAATTCACCATTTCAACTTTGTTGATACATCCAAATTATTTAATGACATACAAACATTGCTGATAACTGTAATCAGGACTGACTACCTTCTACCACTCTACCGATGACATACAAACATTGTTCATAACTTTAATCAGGAGTATGATTACCTTCTACCACTTTACCATTAACACCTCTGGAAACTAGGAAAGATTTTTAAGGGGATGGTTACTTTCATAATGACTAATCTACTTAGAAATTTACTAACAAATTCCATAGTTTGACAATGTTGATTCCTCAAATATGAGATTAGATTTTAAATGATTTTAAGTGCGGTGAAACGATTTATCAGATCCAAAGTCCACACATAATTATAATAGATCATTTAACGACGTAGATATTACCGAATTAAAAAAATCACCCATTGTTAGGTTCACAACTGATAACTCATGAACTTGCACACGAAGATCGCAATGAAAATCATGTTGACCTTCATCAGATTTGCGAAATGATTTAGTTTCACGTTATTTACCTATACAATTCACTATACTTTCTCTGGGGAGATATTCATTCATTTAATATAAGCCTTTCATTCGAAAATCCTTCAGATACATTGCTATAAACAGCGTCTACAGTGATACTCCGACAAGTCTTTAATATGTTTATAGGAGAAAACTCGTGGTATTTACTGTGTTAAAGAGTAAATGTTGTTCCTGTTTTAGAAAACATTGGATGTGCGAGTCAATGTCTCTCCTTTACCCTTATTCAGTTTAGTTTTGCTCTCTACTTATTGGCTAATTAAATTCAAACGGATTTTCAGACGAAAGGAATTTGGAATTGCAACCGATATCGATCAACGTTTGATTTTAACGAAATTAAGGTCGAAGAAAAAAAACTAAGTGTTAACTATAACACTAGGAGAAGACCCCCAAACCACTAACCAATTTCCAACAAACAAAACCTCCCTCCAGGACATGGTCATCCAATGTTTATCATTGATATTAATATGTCAACGCTGTCTGAGCCAGATAGCTAAATATGATATCATATTTTGTCTTTTTATTCCATCTTCAATTATTTATTATATTTCTTTTTGATAATTATTAGTTTTCATTCTTCATTTTTTACGTACTGCATCAGTATCAATTTTTTTTACTTAAACCAAAGGCATCGCATAAACTACCACACCAGTAAGCCTGCGTCTATAGGAATGATATAAAAGTGGTGATGATGATAATACTGCTTGTAAATTTAACAATTAGCTGGAGGCATCAGATCCCTCGTTGGAAGCTTGTTGTATTAGTGCACTTTTTTTACATTTTATGGTGTCCTATCACGCTGCTAAAAGTGCATTGAGATGCATAGCCGAAGTGGGCTGGACGATTTTCAATTCCTAATTTGCATTGTGCATATATCCTTGGCTTTCACGGACGATTCTAACGCCTAGCATTTTGTTTCCCTGACTGTTAAAAACATTAGAAATGTGTTTAGGTGAATGCTTGCAAGTTTACTGTGGATAACTAATCACTTTGGTGGCGAATCAAGACAACAGATATTTGCGTCATTTCATGGCCACTTTGGACGGGCGCCAACAGGGTTTCCCCACGCTCAGCTCTCTAAATTTATCTCAGGTATTTTATCCCTTGAGAAAATTGTTTATTTAACAAAATTATATAGTATCTGAGGCATTTGGTAATTTTGATTCTAGATTTCGAATACACGACGGGAATAATGTCTACGGAAATCATTCTCAAGCCGTCGTTATAGATAGCGGCTTCTTACAGCACTAACTGCTGAGTAAATTCAAGCCTAACAAAACAAATGAAGGAGTGTATTTATTGTTGTCATCATGATTAGTATTGGAGTTAATCTAACTATAGTGGTTATTATCATTATCATTATTAACGTTATTTTCACCATTACTACTATTATTAATGATTATTATTATCATTGCTACCATTTACTTTATCTCATTTCTGTTCACGCCGGTCAGTCGAGTAGCCACGCGTTTTTTCCATTCATGTATTTATCTGCTCAATCACTGATTGATTTATTCGTTTATTTACTCACCTTTTTTTGTATCATTTTCCATGTAAAATAGGAGGGGCTCTTTACACAGTTTCAAAATATTGGCGTCGAAATTGGCCGGAAAGATCTGAATTAATGTTCATCGAGAGAAAAATAAAATGATTAAGATAATAATAATGATGACTTGATGTCTTTACTTTGTTTTATTGCTGAAAATGTAATTGAATTTGTACCCGTTCATTACAAAACTAATGGCAAAATCGGCGTACGTCACGGTTCTGATTAATTGTTGAATTCCTGTACACAATCTAGCCATTTACTAAAAAAAGGCTAGAAAATTTCATCCTCTCATCAGCAAATGAATAAATAAATAAGCAGAAAGTTGAAAAGCAGTGGAAAAATATCTATTAATAGTTAAATAAATATGAATATCAATTTAGGCGAAAATTTTCGCTACTGTTACTCGATGACCACTGTTTGCTTTAGGTACGTGGTTCAAAGTCACTTAAACGAATAGTCAGTAGAATATTTTTATTTAACACTGATATGGGTTGCGCTAGAAATATTTACTTTTTGTGAACTAAACAATGCTTATATGCATTCTCCATATTAGAATTATTTAGACTGGTTGCCAACATAAATGACTCGCCATTGTTCTATTGAATTCAGAAATTATCTAAGACGCCATTTGTTGCATGTTCAAGCGCCAAAATCGACTCATATTTTCCTAAGAAAACATTAATAACACCAACGAAAGTGTCAATGTCAAATCTTAAGCAATACACTTTCGGGCACGAAACCCTTAGGCAAATCCATTCGCACGTTTCTTTCGCAGTGAAATTGTAGTTGACGTGGCTTATGGGGTTTATGTTAAATCTAGGAAAATCCTAATATATCTCGTTTCGTCCAGAAAACGATGAACGTGAGTAAACGTGCGAAGAACGCAAATGGAGGCACTAGTTATCACAGGTGTGTGACTGTAAATATTGAAATTTATGGTCTGCGATAGAACAAAACGGCCTCATCGTTTATTCGTTTCTCTAACTGAGTGCGGTCCGGATCGCAATACTGTCCTCTATTTGGCTAAGAACTCTCTAGTAATGCTATAAGTATTTCAGGTTTAGACAAACGTATCTTCATAATTCGGGGTAATAGTTTTGAAAAATGAAATATCGTTAACTTTAGGAACACTGTTAAATTTGGAAAATGTCAAAACATGAACAATTTAGGAGATCTTTGTTCTTGATTTTGCATAAAAATTAAATCATTGTTAGTTTAGGTGATCAAGCTGGTCAAACACGTAATGAACCTAGTTAGAATATTTCATAATATTGTTTGTTCACCTGCAGTGGTAATGAAACATTTTTCCGAAAGTATTGGGCTGTTTCTATTTTTCCAATTACCATAACGAATATTTAATGACATATCAATAACTCGTTCATTAAAGTAAAGGAAATTAACCACATTTCCCCTTCACATTCCGTGTGCTACCTGCAAAAATTCAGACCGCCGTGAAGTTTTTACACTCCATCTAAGGATGTTTCGTCCATGCCTGATCTTCCTAACCATCGTTGTAACCTGGGCTTTGGGTAAGTTTAGGAGTTAAATACAAACTTATGAAGTTGGTCTGATTTTTGAACTCGTAAGCATTGTTTACACTGTCTACCTTGTGTCCGTTCGCTGCTTCTTCAATTGCAACAAATCTAACTCGACACTGAAGGAAATTGCGAATAATTATGTTGGTAAACTATACTGTTTCGTCGTTTGATCCATTTGGCTTTCTTAGCAATGTAGAAATGCAGTGATAATTCATTACTAATAATCTCCCTGTCCAAATAAAAGTACAAAGAAACAACCATGCTAAAACATTTCGCTATTTTCTTTTTTGGTTATTTTTAGTATTATGTATAGTTTTTCTGTTCCACCTTTTCTTTCAAATCAAATCCGAGTATACAACAGCAACAATTCGGAAAACTGTATTGAAATTCTGTAGTAAAAAATGAAACATCCAGCTGTAGTTTTTTTTTATTTTTTTTTTTTTTTCTTAAAGAGAGCATATTTTATTTCAGCTCTCAAATAGAGTTAAGGACAAAATGACGTATTCATCAGCTAGGAAAATAAAAAATCCAATGTGTTCGGGAGCGATTATAATTATAATTGTGCTAATAATCGATGGCAAGAGCAGTTTCCTTTCTCCCACCTCTGGTAGTGCTTTGAAAATACATTATATCGTTGCTACAAAGTATTGCTGAGATAAAGTATTATTTTAATTAATGATCATGATCATCTTTTTATCCTTTTTATCGAAATCTTAATTGCAGTTATTTCCTTTAGTGTAGAATGTTATTTCCATGACAGATCTCAATCACGTGCATCAATTGAAATTCTAAGAGCTAAGAAGTACGCAAGAATATAATATAGTTTTTTTGAAATTTGCAATTAATACATTGTCTTGGTATAAATAAAGCTCGAATCATATTGATGATCCCTCTTCGAGATAGTTTGGTTTGATAAATTGAGTTGACGATGTAATTTAGCCACCAAAAGAGTTTCTAATTCTGACCGTTGCGAGCATTTTCCCTTCGCCTTAATAGTTATGAAAAACAACTAATATTCAGATTAGAACAACTGATTTTCATTTTGAAAATGTAGAGATATCACCTCAGCTTTAATGATGATTTACCTGTTATTCTGTTAGGCGAAAGAAAAGCTAAAACAACTGCAAAACTCTTTACTCATTCTTCTCGTCATAAACACAAACGCTCCTATTTCTCCAACAGACTGCAATACACCAGTGGGAATTGAAGATGGGACCTTAGAGGATTCAAGGATGACTGCAAATTCCAACATTAATAAGTAAGTAAAGGGCTTATAGAATGATTAAAAGGAGAGCTGGCCTTTAAATAATCTTACTTTTTCTTTTCTGAATAAGATTTGAACAACCCATTTTCACACTTTTTTTTTCAAAATATAGGGGTCGATTAGTTAATGTTTTCTCAAACGTATATGTACTGACAGATCTTCGATCCTTTTCCAAATGAATGGGTTTTTTTTTCGCTAACTTTATTTTTACTTACAATGGTGTTTATTAAGTTACCTGCATGCCTAAACCATCTGAGTGAAATATTTCCAGGTAATAAGAGAAATACTACTATACTTGTCGAGGTGATTTCTATATCCTCTTTTATTAATTTGGAACATACTTCAGCCTACTCTGAGACATGAAGGAGTCGAACCATGGTGGTAGCGAGCTGTTTGCTAATTAACGAACGTCAGTCCATTATTCGTTTCAGGGCCCGCTGTTTCTAACTTTGCGCAAAAAAAAAAAGAAAGAAAAACTAAAACTGATCATTATCCGTAAAGAAAGGTGAACTCAGATCAAAAGAAAGAATCTTATTTGTCTAACTCTTGAATGAACATACAAGCTATAAACACAGAGCAGAAAAAGAAAAGAACTAAATCGAACTGACCAACACACGAAGTTTAGAATCTTAATCACACTTTTGCTGATGGTTTTAAATGCTTTAACAGATATTCAGTTCAGACACAAAATTTTGATAGTGCGTTTAAATAAATTTCAAGTCGATCAGTGCTTTTGATGGTATCATAACTTCATATTAAACTAGAGATATATGAAAGAATAGGAATTTAAGCGGAGTATGAGTATGTTTCGAAATTACAATCATTTGAATTCTGCTCGTATTCCTAATTTTAAGTTTCTGGCTGAACAAAGAAAAATCATGCATACCAATTGATTTCCTTGACCCTTTCACTCCCCATGCTGACAATTTGTACCTACGAAGCGAAACCGAACATGGCTGATCACAAAACAGGCGCGTTTAACAGCGTCAATCATACCATTAGCTAGGAGAAAGTAAAGTGCTTCCATTCTGAATGAAAAATTTAATGCACTGTTGAAAGCTTGCTTCAGTGGAAAGTAACTTTAGTTGTAAAGTTCAACTTGGAGAAAGAGTGTTTCAAATGTTTCATGTGTCATCGATTTATCAGTTACAGCTGTTGAACTATTGTGAGTGTTGGTTTAATCATGCATATCAGTTGATTCGACTGACCCTTTCACTCCTCATATTTGATTTTTAATTCTCTCCTCCAGCTGCTATGTTTTGAGAATTAGGTGTTAGATCAAGAAAACAACTTCTACTTGATAAGTTCGAGCATTCTCATTATCTTTTGGGTGTGTAATAAATAGATATTATAGGGAAAAATTATATGTTAATGACTTCTATGAGTTACAAGGTTAAATAACATATGAATGAACTGCGCATCTATCTACATAGTGTTTTGGCCTCCCTCAGTAAAATAAGAAATGTAGTCAGTCACTGTATCTGTGGTGGATAGATAAATTTGCACACCCCAGATTGATCCAGTAAATACATTGTTAATCTTATTAAAGGTGGCATGCAGCTAAGGAAGGAAGATTGAATAACTATAAAGGAAAACCAGGAAACTCAGGAGTGGGTGCTTGGTGTGCGGACAAAAGAGATTCTAACCAATATCGTTATATACAGGTAAGGCGAGGAAAAAAATATTCTAAACACGGCAAATTCCCGCTTACGAGATTTCTGATTGGTCCAGAAAACTCGGACCTCTCTCTCTACTAACAAATGCAAAATGAAAACCAATCACAACTCGATCGCCCGTGTTTTTTTCCGCTCTCATAACAGTTTGCCTGTTTTTGCCTGTTTTTCTTCTTTTCTTTTTTTTTTTTTTTTTTTAAAGTTTTGTTGGCTCTTCAGCGTATTTTTCCTTTCTTTTGATCAGCCGTCGTGATCAGTTTAGTTTTCGCAATGCGCCCTTATCTGTTTCTCCGATGGTTATAGAACTGAGTGGAGTCCACTTAATCACGAGTAGGATTACAGACTAAATTGAACCACACGAAGTCAAGTTATCAATAAACAGATAAAGGCTGATAGTTTCGAAAGAAACTGTTTGGGGCTGCGTCGGTGGGGGTAACGGAACAATTTGGATATATCAAAAAAGTTGAAATGGTAAATTGTCCACCGTAACGATTAGAAAAGCTGACGTTTCGAGCGTTAGCTCTTCGCTCCGACGAGGGGCTAACGCTCGAAACGTCAGCTTTTTTAATCGTTACGGTGGCCAATTTGCCATTTCAACTTTGTTGATATATCCAAATTGTATCAATAAATAGAGATTATAACAAAATTTGAGAAAGAAACTAGACATCGATCACACGTTTTCATACAAAAGCAGCAGTTAACTCGGGGAAAACAGCGCGATAACAACGCTTGCCTATGACCCACGCTGTCCACTTAAATATGCATGACGCGTCGTACGCGTCGACTGTCCTTTTACATTGTCCGATTACAAGCCTGACGCGTACACTGTCCTATTAGTGATCAAATCGGGCTGGTGATAACCAATTACGCTCGAGATATCCTAATAGTTCTGATAAATAGTGTAATCGTATTATTATTTTCATCTCCAGTTCGACTTAGGTACCGTACGTAAAATCGGAAAGATCGCCACTCAGGGTCGTAACACATCATCGTACCAGTACGTTTCAAGTTACCGAATCCTTCACAGCAATTTAGGCACTATATTTGAAGGAATACTTGATATAAATCACAACGAAGTGGTAAATAATATAATTTTGATATTCTTTTTGTTATTTCTATCTTTATTATAAACTGGTTGCAATGTTTGATGATATTTACAAACATTTTCCTCTTGTAATTCCTTAGATATTTGCTGGAAACGTGGACCAAAATTCAATTGTCACACATGATATACCTAGTACTGGAAGAATTATTGAGGCCAGGTATATTCGAGTGGTTCCTGTCGAGTACAGAGCTAATATTTGCATGCGTTTTGAGCTCTACGAGTGTGTGGGTAAGTAATGATCTTGCCCGGGGTGAGTTTTGTCTGAAATTAAGAGATATATTGAATGAATTAATCATGAGCTCGAGATTTCTTTCGCATGATATATAGTTGATAAGGAGGGAGCTCGGATTGACCCCCATGTATGTAGAGATTTAGAACGAATAAGATAATTTACAATGAATTAACTAATTGCTTTGGTGAAAACGCACGATTCGTTCAAAAATTAAAAAAGTTACAGGTTAATGTTCTTTTTGGTATCGCAGCATTCAGTTTTGAAAGAAACAGTAGAGTTTTCCAAATTACAAGTGGTAAGGATCGCTACAAAAACGTTTTTATTGTACTTGCAAAAACCTTGGCTTAACGATCTACATACCGAAGAAAATTGTTTCAATACCAAAATGTTTTAATAGCGCTTTGTGCCTACGCAACCTTAGCATAAAAATAATTAGCCTCTATCGCTTTCGGATCCCGTTAAAAGAACCATTTTCATAAACTATAGACCACACAAAATTCGCAAATATTGACTTCAACAATGAAGTACATAAATATATCTATATCCAACTCTAAATCATTTATGAAATTAAAGTATTTGACTTTTATATGACATGCTCTTCTTTCTGATCTTTTAGAGCCGGTGCCAGCAACTACTGCAGCCCCACCTGCACCAGGTACGTTTTTAACAATTATTCCACGAGCGCGCGTTGGATATGAGATGATAGATAGCCAACTCGGCGCTACGCGCCTCGTTGGCTAGAATCATCTCATATCCAACAAGCACGAGTGGAATAATTGTTTTATTAAAAACGTTAAATTAAATTTAGACAAATCTTACCAAATCTTAAGTTTTTTAGCTCCCTTTTAATTTTAAACTGGCACGTACGCTTGCCATATTTGTAGATTATGGTATATTGGCTGATATACCATAGTGGCTAAGCCAATAAAAAGTCTTGAATTGCATTATCCAATGATCTAGTTTTTAATAATAACAATTATGCGATGCCCGCGCGTTGGATAAATTGTAGAACTATGCTTGTATCCAAAAAGCGCGAAAAGAAGATTGTTTTACCGATTTTCGTTTCGTCCTGAACGTTTGGATATTTGGAGCTTTTTTTTATGTTGGCCTAATGCAGTCTCATTTAAGGTAACTCGGAATATGAGCTAATAACGTCAGTCAGAACACTAGAAATGCAAGATTCGGAGTTGAAAATCTATTGATAAAACATTATCTAGCCAACAAGTGAAGACAATACAGACAATGTTAAGAGTGATGTTCTCCTTATTAAAGTAAAACGAAATTCTCAGTAGATACATTTAGAAAGGATCACTCTGCCTAAGAATGTATATAGAAGTTTAGTGAATAACATCTTACCGTTGGCCGGGCTGATTTATGATATTATGCAACCCACTGGTTGAACCATAACGGTAATGGAATTACTTTAGGCTCGTGCATCATTCATCATGTCTGTGCTACCGCATTACTTGTAGCGAATTTCTCATTTTCTTCTTTCCTTCTCCGCTATCTTCTCCTTACGATGTTCCAACGATCCACCAAGCCACGACTGAACCTCCAGTTGGTGAGAACATCTTTTATTTATACTGCTCTTTGGGTTAGCTGTTGCTACAGCATGGAGGAACTCCACATCAGTCACTTAATTATTCACTTGCTTTATTGTACTTTCTTCATCATCGTCATCAGGATCATTCTGAGCATTATCATCAGGATCATAATTAGTTATATCGAATTTCTTTTATTATTTTCTTCAATTCGTTTTGTAGTCTGCCCTGATGGATACCGCTTGGGAGCAGACAATAAAACATGCGAAGGTACAATAGCATTAATTATCATTACTGTTATGCAAGAACACTAGAATGTATCGTGTAGAAGGCTTATTTCTCAGATGTGTATAGAGTTTTTTAACCATGACCAAATGAAAAAAGTCTTACATGTCTATTTCAGAACGTTTAACCGTAAAAAAGTTGCTTATCGTCACTGTATAGTAGTGTAGAATATAAGATACGTGAAACTACGATCATTGTCCTTACCTACGATAAACGCACGGTATTTAGTTACATACAGTCACTGTTTGACAGTTTGCTTGTTCCCCCAGACATCGACGAGTGTGCTGAGCAATCAAGTAAATGTAATCATTACTGTCACAACACGAAAGGTGGCTATGACTGCAGCTGTAAACAGGGATTCAAACTCGACGTAGACCAGCGAACTTGCATAGGTTTGTACTCGAAATAAGCCAGTTTCTAGATTGTTGATACACGTGCTCGTTACATTTTGCTGTAAGATTATATTAGTTCGATTTTTTCATCTGTTGCAGAGGTAATGACGTAAAAATCATGACTTTGAAATCTAAGTTCATCTAAAACTTGTGCGCTTGTTTAAAAAAAGTTAACGAGCACATAAGCATAGAAAATGATCGGCGTTTATAAAAAAGAAACAAATAAAAGAATAAAGAAAGGTAAATGAAATAAATACGAAATAAAGCAAAGCAAAACCCGAACAGACAAGCACAATTAAAAAAAAGATCAGAAACAAAAAGATCACACGTGTACGACGCTACTTAGGAATAATCAGAATATCATGCCGATCACTGATTGTGTTTGCTTTTCAATTTTCTTCAAGATATCAACGAATGCTTGGTGAATAAAGGCGGCTGTAGTCAGCAGTGTGAAAACACAGAAGGGACCTTTAACTGTAGGTGCAATGTTGGCTACAGATTGCAAAGTGATGGAAAGACATGTAAAGGTGCGCAAAAAATGTAACTTGAAAAGAGAACAAGGACTGAAACAAAGTAGCACGCTTCTTAACATAACACAACTGTTTATTCACAATTCAAATTCAAATGAAAAGTGAAAAGGATAAAAAAGAGATTATTCCTTCACGTTTGTATCCTAAAATGATTACGAATAATTAAAAACAAAAGCAAAGTTACCTTAGAATAAAATGCTTAATAAAATATAGTTAAAACATTTCCATAAAAAAAAATTAGTAAAATAGCATCTGAGCCTGTTCTTGAAAATGTTCTAACTCCCTGGCAAATAATTTTCTTGTGAAAGAATTCTTCTTAGGATTTGCTCCATGTTTTTATTACTATTATTATTATTATTATTATTATTATTATTATTATTGAAGTATAAAATCATGTATGCTAAACGATAGCTAAGGCACAGTAGGGCGCTATTGCGTTAGTTAAAGGCCAACAGGAAATAAAAAAATCGAAATAAGAAAATAATTGTTTAAACAAATACAATAAAATGTTTTCTAAGTAGAGCTTAAAAAAAACTTTCACACCTACTTATCTGAGATATCACATTATTATTATCATTATTATTATTATTAATATTATTATTATTATTGTCTGTTAACTCTGTTTGGTCAGTGGCCCAGTCTCATCTACCGAAGAACATTTACAACTTTACCATCCTCTACATCAACAACTCTCTTCCTACACGTAAGAATTTGGTAAGATGGGGATTATCACAAAGTCCTGATTGTTCCTTTTGCCTTAATCCTGAGTCACTCCTTCATGTTGTCGCTGGTTGTCAACAATACCTTGATCGCTTTACCTGGAGACACGACTCAATCCTTAAATTCATTGCCAAGTCTCTTCAACCTGTAATTAATGTTAGCTCCTCACTCTACGCAGATGTTACTGGTTTTCTAAATCCCTCAATAATAACTGGTGAAAATTATCGCCCAGATCTTCTTTTCCTAATCCAGTCCAAGTGCCTATAAGTTCTAGAATTAACAGTTGGTTTCGAATCTAACCTGTACAACAATGCAGTACGTAAAAAAGAAAAATATCGAAACTTGATTAACGAAATGAGTAGAACTTTCAGATGTGTGAAATTTGTAAATATCTCCATGAGCTCCCTTGGCGTTTTCTCCGATGAATGCTCTACGTTCTTAGACATGATGAAAGACATAGGCATTGACAAAAAAGCAGCAACTTTACATAATAAAAAAAAATGATAGATATAGCTATTAGAGCAACATATCACGTCTTTTGTTGTAGAAATAGGAATTGGGACAACCCACATTTGATGCAATTTTGATTTTTGTGTCTGTGTTGAATAAGCCAATCTCAAGCAGCATTTGTAAATTGCCTCTACGTAGTGAGATTTACAATTGTACATTTTAAAAAAAATAAATTTTCCATTATTATTATTATTATTATTATTATTATTATTATTGTCATTCTTTATTTGCTGGCTTGGCAACCATTGCAAATGTATAGCGTATTAGATCACGCCCCCTCCACTCTATTGGTAACCCATGCGCCAAACATTTGTTTGCTAAGACTATGATACCTTATAGACGATATCTCACTGGTTTTTCACTCCATCAAAAAACCTATTTCTCTCCACTCCACCTATGTTTTACCTCATTTTTTTTTCATCATCGAAAAACAAAACGCTTATTCGATTATAATACAATCTCTTTTTATGACTCACTCAACCATCAGACATTGATGAATGTGCAGAAAAGATCGACTTGTGTACTCAGAACTGCGAAAATACCGAAGGAAGCTATACTTGCAGCTGTAACGCCGGATACAGACTTGCCTCCGACAAGTACACTTGCAAAAGTAGGTGGATAGTTAGTTGTAAAATTAATTCTATCAATAATAATAAAAAAAAAATTGAGAAAAAATACTTCAGAAAAAATGTTTGGTAGCTGGTATGACGCGCCGTTTCGTTTTGGCCAATGCAAAAGACTCGTCAGATACTTTTTATATTGTTCATCCGCTCTCTTTCATAACTAATGCATTTAATTCTACTGCTGTATGTCTTTTATCATTGTAGGAAAGTTGAATGAGCTTAGTTCTCCAGTTATAGTATGTAGAGTGGTATTAAAACTTTGTGCGAATTTATATAAAAGAAATAGACATTACGTTCCATTTTTTTTCTCTCACTATTTTATTGTTTTTCTCAACTTAAGACATTGATGAATGCAATGAAGGTACTAGCGGATGTAACCAGATTTGCACTGATACCCTGGGAAGCTTCAAATGCAGTTGTAGAGCCGGATACAAACTGAAGACTGATATGAAGACTTGTGAAGGTATTTCAACCTACCTGGCAAATTTAAATGCTTTGTTTAGTTGTTACGCAGTAACGCTTTGTTTCTGTGGTGGCATGAGGACATAAGTTCATTACGTTCCTTTAGTGATGATAATTCAGCAAACATATCTGGACCCTTAAAGAAAATAGAGATGACCTCTTTATTTAATGGCGCATCCTTTCATCAAGATCACCTTACAAAGCGCAAAAAAGACATGCAACCTCTTCCTAAAAGAAAAACTGCTTATCATCTGCCGACCTGAATTATCATTACCCAATAAATGTAATGAACTTGTGTCCTCGTGATTTCTACTACAAAAAAGGATCACTTGCGATAAAAATCTCACCGAATCATGTAGTTATGAATTCACGACATGTTCACCTTAGATATAGACGAGTGCCAAGCCAGTAATGGGGGATGCAGTGACACTTGTCAAAATTTGGTGGGCTCGTACATTTGCACCTGTCCCAGCGGCTACCAGCTCGATGGAACCGGAAAGAATTGCATCGGTAAGGCAACGACAAAGTATTCGTTCCGTTTATCTGGTAGTTTCGTTTAGTTATTTTTTATCAAATTATTCATCAGTGACGTTGAAATCTATTCTGTTGTATTGTCACCACGATTTGATATCATCAGTACCTTTAATTTTTCAACATGTTGATATGTACGTATGATGCACGATCCTCGCAGAAGATATCATACGTATCTAATACCGCAGTTCAAAATATAAGAACCTCAAATATTTATTGTATATGTTAATATGTGATTAAAGAGATGATAGAAACGAGAAATTTGTTGACATTAATTTTAATTTTTGGTGTTTGGACGAACCTTCAATCCAATTCTTCCACAGACAAGAACGAGTGCGCTCTTGCGAACGGTGGTTGTCAGCACACATGTAACAACAGTCTTGGTAGCTTTTTATGCTCCTGTAATGATGGCTATAAACTCAATTCTGATGGCTTAACTTGCTCAGGTAATACATTTCATCATTTTTCCCTTCATCAATCCATTTTTCTAAAAGTTTCAGAAGATTAAAAAAGAGTTATTTTAAAATAATAGCAATTCTAACATTAAATGAAAATAACGAGAAAACGTTCCCGTCTGATGGCGAAAATTATCATTAGTCGTATAGTGATGGAGATACAATAATGGAAGTAATTGACACAGTTTAAATAACAACAATAGATAGCATAAAAATGATAACAATAGATATAATATATTGTATGAGCAATCACTCGATTTTGAGTGCAAATAGAGATGAATCAGCACTAGCTGGGTATTTCCCTTAAACCTTATTAATCGAGAGTTTGCACTCTTTTCAGGTTGAGTATTAACCAATTAATCATTTCTGAAACAGGGCACTTCAAACAATCCTTGTACATAAGTTGCTACGTGTTTTTGCAGAATCGTCGAAAAATGAGAACACTCTACAGTGCACCTCTTCTTTGTCCTGGGCCCAAACTACGTATTCCCATAGGAATCCAAATACGATATTTAAACGTACAGTCCACTGATCGCGAACATTGCTCAATGCCATCTCTCCTTTCCGATTAAGCAATCCTCTTGTCTTGAAGTATACCATTGAATTAAGGGTTTATCCTGTTATCTTGACTTACTTTTCTTCTGGCCTTGACCTGAGTTAATGTTGTGCTTTCCAGACATCGATGAATGCACAGATGGCTCAGCACAGTGTGACCCAAAAAGCACCACCTGCAGTAACCTTATACCTGGCTATGAATGCAAGTGTAAAAAAGGATACTTGGTAATAAGCAATGATAAGAACAAGTGCAAAGGTAAATACTAGTTCGTAGTATATAATGTAGAAATGGCAGCTTTTTTGGCAAAAGCCTAACAAATGCGTATTCCAATTACCCAGAAAAAAAAAGAATAAAAAGAAGAATTGGTTGGTTTCATGTTGTCTCGCGAAAGATATTCCGGTATATGAAGTGAAAAAGCTAAATGTTTGTACTTGAAGTTAAAAAAAAAAAAACTTCCAAATAATAAGTCAGCTTCATGATCCGATATTTGGTTTCTATCGTCTAACATTGTGAATATTTTGGTCTAAGAAACGTTGAATTAAAAGTTTGTTTCTAGAAATCAAAAATAAGTTTGAAGATAACCAGTTATGTTTTATGGTACAAAATATATCTATCTATCTATCTATCTATCTATCTATCTATCTACCTATTTATCTATCTATCAATCTGCCAATATATCCCATCCTAACTTTATATCCATAATCAACGCAGTTAAAAGGAGAGTCATTTGAATGGAGAAACAATTTCAATTCACTTTATTTCAGCCCCTACTTGCCCAGCACTCCTCCAATCAGTGGGAACCACTGTTTCTCCACAAACGTGCCTACAGGATCAAGTCATGGAGGCCGGCGATTTGTGCAAATTCGGTTGCGCTATAGGGTTCGAACTACCTGATCACGAGGATACCCTCCTCTGCCTGCCAACTGGAAGCTGGAATGCATCGGTCATTAATTGCAAAAGTACGAAACATACGCAAATAATTAGCTTTCCAATAACAAACAAACAAACAAACATTTAAGTTAAGATTAATCAGATGAGAAACCAAGCAATAACAACAAATAAGTGAATGCGATGGATGGCTGAGGTTTTATTAATAGATCGCTACCTTCTTTAAGCAGAGCAATTTCTTTAAAATTTTGTTCAGTTGTAAATTAACCTGACCCAAATGGTGGCCTGTAAACATAGTTACGATCCTGAGCCTTTCCGCACAAAGGGAAAAAACAACCTTAAATAAATATTTGAACATTGAAGTAAAAAATTAAAGTGAGCCAAAGATTAAGATTTTGGATAAAAATGTTTTTATGTTCAAGATCTGGGACCTTTCTGAGAAAGTAATGGCGAGTTTTAATCTGAATAAAATATGCCTGTATTCCAACCAACAGTCAGAAAAAATTTAAAGACAGACCGGCACGGACTTCCTGAGTGGCCTTTGCGGTCGCGTCGCACTATCGCCTTCGAACTCTATTTTTGTTCTCACAAACGTGTCTGTAAGGGATTTACCATTTTTCTAGAAAATGAACGAAGGTTTAATGAATTTTTTTTCAGTCAAGGCTGAATGTATATCGACCTCCAATGCTCCACCAATATTTGTTATGGCGTCTTTTAATCTAAATCAAGTGTTCCTGTATTTCAACCAAAAGTCATATTTACCACTTATCGCTCAGTAAAGTTTTAATCTCCCTTGACAGGAGTAAGCTGTCCAAAGCTGGTTGCTCCCGCAAATGGAAAGCTTAATCCAGATACTTGCGTCACCGAAGGAAACGTTTATCAAAGAAAGTGCGGGTACGTTTGCAACAGTGGCTACACGTTGTCTGGGGTGCAAATCAAGACTTGTCTTAGCAACGGACAATGGGACAGCCAGGAGGAACCAACATGCACTCAAAGTGAGCATAGATAGTTTAAATGCAACCTTTTTAAAGAAAGAATCCTGAAACCCTGCATGAGCTTATAACCCCTGAAAAGGCATTTGTAGAGAACGGCATGCTTGTTTGGCTAGCCGTCGCCTCTTTATTGTACACTAATAAGTGAGAAGTTTAGATGGTAAAATTGAGCCGCTAAAACTAACCCGTAAGTGCACGTGAAGGAACAGTTACATTTTGTTAGAGCAGAAAGTATAATCCACGCAAAGTGTGTTTACATACTAGATTGTAAATAAGGTCATTAGTTACACAAGAGATTTCAGTACTATTCCATGGTATAGCAGGCAACATGGTATAGTGTGTGATGATGAATTGAAAATTTTTAACGACATCTTTATGTGATCCCGACAAAGGCTGCTACAGCTGATTGCATAGCAGCGTAAAAGTTCTGATCCACTATAATAGAGCTGATAATCTAGCTGACCTAGAAAAAAAAAACCTCCAGACGATGGACTGGACTTCATGCGATCGGCAAATCTACAAAATATCGCATTATTGAAAAAAAAAAATAATAAGCGAAAGACCCACACATCTCCATATTGTTCTTTCGAGGAATAACAGCTCTGAAATTTTTTTCCTACATTTATGTTGGTTGGCTAGTTTGAATAATCGCTGCGATTGTCATGAGATATTGTTTTACGCTTTTAGGGAATAACTGAGATACTGCGAGCGTCCCGATGGGTTAAAAACCTGTCGTTTATAGCGCTGGTAAAGTTCCGCTCTAAAAGTTTGTAAATTACTCGCCTCTGTCCTGTGATTTACAAATTTAACTTTTCTTCTGTTCTCCCAACATCTTGCATGGGCCCGGGCTACAACGCCAGTAAACCGATAGAAAGTGGTCCTCTGCTTAAGTCTAATTTCAGAGATGTAAATGTACAAATAGCTCAATTTCTACAGATAAACACAATTAACGTAGCAAGTAATCAGAAATTTATTACACTCTGATCATTTCTTCCAATACAGGCTATCCGGATCCTTTTATAACATGTCCAGATAACGTGCACGTTACTCTGTCTCCTGGCGCCAATGAAGCTGACGTTTCGGCTTTGCTCCAGGATCCCCAATCCAATCAGCCGCCGTCCAGAATAACAATTACACCGGCAGAGTACTTTAAAGAAAAAATGTTTCCAGCCGGCACAACTACTTTAACTTACGTGGCAACAAATGAAGTCGGAAAAACGGCCCAATGTCAGACTCTAGTCATCGTCCTTGGTATTCATTGAGCCATTCAGTCATTTTTGTCATTCCACTTAGTTTTTTAATCATTCATTTACACTGCATTTATTCGTTGATTGCATTTTTACATCTATCTCCTTATCTATCTACTTATCCAGCTATTGATACAGTTATTTGGTTCAAGGTCCTTCGTTTATAGCTATCCAGTGATATCACTGATAGCTGGTTCATTACAGTAGTATTTGTTGTCGTCGCTGTTGTTGATTGTCACATTCAATGGCTTTTTCCTTTTATTCAGTTACCTGTACTGTACCATTTATCTTTTAATTTATTCCTATAAGTCGTATCTCCCTTTTTTAAGCTGCATAATGCTCTTTGGTATCTATATGACTTGTCGTTTGCTCTCTTCGACCACACCAGACAGCGAACCTCCAAAAACGGACTCTTGTCCAGACGCTATATATGAGACCACAACGGGTAACAGCAAAGTTATAAGTTGGAACCCACCCAAATTTATCGACAATGTGGCAGTTGTGAACGTGGTATCTACTAAGAACCCAGGTGAAACATTTAACACCGGCTCTACAAATGTGATATACACAGCCACAGATGCTGCGAAAAACAGAGGAACTTGCACGTTTACAGTCCATCTCAAAAGTATGTAGCCATGATCAAGTATCGTTTCTCTCTGCTAAGTCATTTTTATCAACAACCTCTCTCCCCTCGCGGCCAATTATCTGAACAAATATGCTTTTGATATTAAATTCCATGAAAGACTGATCATTTACTAATTTTACGGTTACCCATTACCTACACATCTATTCAGGTCGCTTTGACATTTACCAAACTCAGAGAAAACGGTGAAACCTACTGGTTTTAAAACTTGCCAAAGATTGGAAGAATATACATCTATTAATAGAAACAAAACCTTTATTAACGGTAATAATCACTAGAAGTGTTTACAAAAATTATGACAAAAATTGGCCCGCTTCGTTTAATAATAGTGATAGCAATTATTTACAATTTTAAACCATATATCTCATTATTTACAATTATTTACAAGAATATACATCTATTTGTTTATAATAATAGTAATAATAATAGAGCACTTATATAGCGCGCACATCCAATACTTGCTCGACGCGCTTTACCAAATTATCCCTCAAACCACGAGTTTACCCCAAGAAACTTAGTGACGACTTGTAATAATATATCTAAGAACTCATAAACTTACAAAGAGCTACTCTTATTAGTTTTATAAAAAGGAAGGTCTTAATTTTCTTTCTTAAATGATAAGGCTCTACTGGATTGTCGTATTTTCAAAGGAACAGTGTTCAAACCTTCGGAGCGCATACAGAGAAAGCTCCATCACCGTATGTTTTGGGTTTTTTACAATTTCGCTGCACCAACAGGTCTTTAAAGTTAGGTCATAGAGGCCTAGCTATTTCCGATGTTTCATGAATTCCGTCAAATATTGCGGGTAGAGACCATTGAATCGTATATAGAAAAAAGGAGATGCTTAAGCACGATTCGATATGAAACAGGCTACAAAAAAGTTGCACTAAGTCACTAAGTCGTATTAGATCATATATCTAATGAATTTTGCGCTATATAAATAATAAATACTAAGGCAGGAGTGATATGGTCATATTTCCTTGTATTTTCCTTTATTGATTTAGCCATGTAACGTGTACCTTGAGTTCTCATACGAAACAGTACACTCATAAAAAAAAAACAAATCAATTACTAATTCTTCTACTTCCTCTCAGAAATCGGATGCATTCAGCCTGAAGACCCAGATAACGGTGCACTGGTTTGTCAGTTTGGCAGTTTCTGCACTATCAAATGTAACCAAAATAAGAAACTTTTCAAAAACACATTTTTCATATCGTGTTCATCCTCGACGTTGGAATGGAGTGAAATCCCCGACTGCGTGGGTAAGCCGTCTAAAATATTCTATCGTTTAACAGATCAGAACAATATTTCTTCCGGGATATGACGAAAACAACTCGTCGTTCTCCCTTAGCATTTCTCATGGCAAAGTGAGAATATTGTTTTGCCGTTATACTACATCTAGGAGAGACTATGTGTATTTATTGAAAAAACTCTTTATCACTAAGAATTAACACTTTTTCATACCCTCTTTGGATTTCCTAATTTGTAGTGGAATTAATCTCTGTCTGCTGTTGTCCCCGCTAAGGTCCGCACTAGTTTTTTTTGTTTGTTTTTGTTTTGTTTTGTTTTTTTTTCAATCACGCATAGATCACGTAAATCCGGCTGCCGACGGTTCATGTCCTATTGGCTTTGTTAAACAAGGAAGCATCAATGGCGCCTTCACAGAAAACATTTGTGGTGAGTATCAGTAGCTCGATAAGAGACAAAGGGTTAACATTTAATCCTCTTTTCTTAAGGTTCAATTCCCCAGAATAATTTGCTTCAAAGTTAAAACAGCAGCAGAAGTAATAACAGCAGTATTAAATGTATGAAAGCGATCCTCGCAGTAATGAACAACTCCCGGTTGGCTCGTTAGCTCAGTTGGTAGAGCACTGCACCGGTATCGCAGAGGTCATAGGTTAAAATCCTGTACAGGCCTGAATTTTTTCAGGCCTTATTTACACTACATAAGTAGGGTTTATTACGAGGATCGACATCATAAATTTAGTGTAAGTAACGTTAGTGACTCAGTCTAACCTACAGTAATATAAAAAGTATCAGTAATTAGTGTACAAAAAAATAGAAATAACAATATTGATAATAATAACAAAAATGATAATGATAAAACATTCAATCCTCCATCACTCAAGAAAAAAGCTATGAGGTCATTTTCTGATTCATCCTATTAGTTACCACTTTTCCATGTGTACTCGTTCTGCCTTTCTGCAATCTTTACCTGCTGACTAGCTTGCTTGCTCGCTTGCTGAATTGCTTCTTAGCTTGTTTGCTGACTCACTTTCCTGATCACTTGCCTTATATTTCTCGATAAGTCATTTTCACCATCCTATTCTTTTACTTGGTTTATAAATTCTCGACGTTTTATGTCCACATTCCTCTTTCTAAATTACTACAACTCGCTGATTTTTTTATTTAAGGATAGCGTGTATTTAACTTTTATTCACACAGTGAAATGCCCAAGAGGTTATTCCTACAATAGTAACGATAAAACATGTGAGCCATGTCAAATCGGCTACATTAGTACATCAGAAGGTTCAATGCAGTGCCACGCATGCCTGAACAACACTTCAACTTTAGAAGTTGGCTCCAAATATTGCACAGGTAATTTAGTTTAATCAGGTGTATTTGCATCAAATTATCCTGTGTTTTAATTTGTTCTTTAGTTGCAACTGCTAGTTTATTTCTGCAGTTTTCTTTTAATGCCGAGAGTGGAAGTTGTATAGTGAGATTCTTTAATTGAGATCACTTATTCATGGTCCAGAACTAAAACAGCAACAATAACGTGAGAATGTGAAGACAACAATAACGATAGCAACAATAGCAACAAACCAACAACAACGTTACAAAAAGCATCAGAAAAAAAGGAAACTAAGAAAACTGACGTTGAAATAATGTAATTATGATGTATTCTTCTTCCAGGTGATCCCACTGTCTGCAATGTCGTTGTTCATCACATATGTCTTTGTTTTTATTTCCGTACACAGCTTTGTGTTACGCCGGTCAGTTCTCCAAATCAGGATTTGATCTGAAAGCAGATCTTGAACCTTGTGAGCCTTGTCCGATTTCCTCTTACCAATCGCAGGCTGGCCAAAAAAGTTGTGAGAAGTGCCCTAATGGTACCACCACCATCAGCTCGGGTTCAGCATCTGTCGATTCTTGTGGAGGTGAACTTCAGATTCATTGACCAAAAGAGACAAATTGATCAATGAATTAATCTCACATCTTTTATGGTGTAATTTATAGCCGGTCCTTAATTGTATGAATGTCAATGCATAAAAAGAGACGTATTCTCCAGAAACCATATTTCGGTCTCTGCCAATGTAAATTTTGCCACAATTGGGAATAATATCGCAGGGTGATTGGTCAATTTGCCGTTGCCAACAACGCTACTCGAGTCAAAATGTCATGGACTGGTCACGCAATGAAAGAATTCGTCTGCACCTCGTGAGTCCACAAAAATTTGACCACTGCGATAACGAATATTGTTTTCAATTAAAGCACAGTCAACTTAAAACCACTATTGATATGTTAAGTACACCTTAGTTATTCGGCCACAAGACACTCCCTGCTATATATAAGACGTGCTCCTAAAAATTTACTTCTCGCACAAAAATTTACATTGCAAAAGTAGCCTAACCATTGAAAAGCTGTCTTAAGATGAGCTTAGACTTATCAGCGGACGTCCTAGTTTTTAAAACCCCATCAGCAACTGGTCACTTAAGCAAATCTTTAATGCTTGCATGCTTCTATTCACAAACAAAAAATCATTACCTGAGTCAAGAATGTCGCTTTCAAACTATTACCAAGGTGCCGGTACCTTGAAGTAGAACGCAATTACTGATCACAAAATTAGGCGAGAAATTTTCCCCCATATCTAGGACCTAGACGATGTAGTTGCAGCCACTCTTATCATTACTTACCTAATGGAGATTAACTTTTCTCATCTTAGGACTACCGGTGATCACGCGATACGAACCTAACCCAACCAATGCGACCGAAAGATATTCTACCCAATTTGAATGTTACGGACATGGATTACCTCTGCCTTATTTTAAGATCACTAAGGTCAAACCGGCACCAGGTATGACTGATTGTAGTTGAACATTCAATACTGTGACTTAGTGAATCTTACTGCACGAAAGAATTAATGATGCAAATTATAAAACTGCAACTAGTTTGGCCACCTCAGGCTAAACACTGCCCAAAGATAAATTACCTAATTTGGAACCTTGAACAATTTAAATTGATGTCGAGTGACAGCTTTTGTCCACTTTTAGATGGTTTTGGAGGCCCATTTACTCAAGAGTACATCAAAGGTCCGGACGGCAACCAGATTGGCATTCGTCACATCATCAGCAAGGTTACTGAGCATGACGCTGGCGCTTACGAGTGTAAAGTGGAGAATAAGTTTGGTACTGATCAGAAGTACCTGTCTCTCAACGTGGAACTCAACTTCGATGTCGGTTAGTATACAGGATCATCTCCACTTCGTTGTGGTTAATTTTTCTTTGTTTGTCCATGTTATCGCCTTTAATGTTGCAAAATCTCGATGTTTATGACACCTTGAAAAATGAAACGTGAAATTCTTGGGATGGAGGATGGGGGGGCGGGGAGGGGTTTGAAAGAGGAATATGAATCATCTTTTCGCCGGCCAAATGAACTAATGTGTGTTTCGGCGGGCAAGTGAAACCCTTACAGTAGCAAAGTATTAAGTATAAGAAGTTGATGAAAGTAAAGAAAACGATCAGCCTGACGTTTTCAGCATCTGCCATTCGTGAAAGCACCTAAATACAGTCAACTCTCCCTCTTGCCTTAGTGTAAAACATCAGCAAAAACACTGACTCGGAGTTACTCAACACAAAGATCTTCTAAATCAGTTGACATTACATCATATTAATACTTTCTTGGTTTTTGCGAAATGCATATTTGCATATCAAAATAATTTAACGCAAAAACATTTAAGTTAAACCGTCACAAAAAAATATATTTGTGCCAAAATTCCCCCTGCGAAACAGATTTATGTGATATCTAAAAGACGCAAGAATTTCGTACAGTCTAGTAAGTGGTCGCAATTTGTCAAAATTTTGACCTCGAAAATGATCACGGTTGCCTGAAAACTCCAGCAGTGGTAGTGAAAGGAAATGAGTTTTAACAGCGAAATAAAACAACTTTTACGAATTTAAAAGTTAAAAGAAGTTTTGCTTACGAGGGAGTTGACAAAAGGCTATCGTAACACCAATCGACCTTATTAATGAGTGATGATTCAATTATCACTGAAGTTAAATAACTACATATAACTTCATTCGCTCCGACGAAGGGGTAACGCTCGAAACGTCAGCTTTTATAATCGTAACGGCGGTCAATTTACCATTTCAACTTTGTTGATATATTGAAATTACATATAACTTCACTGATGTGGTGTCACTTTTATTTCTAGGAAAGCGTCGCCGTCGCCGTCGCCAACAAATTTTAAAGGCTGCACGATAGGGAACAGTTAAGGGAACAATACTGGATAATATGGTTACAAATAAAAGCTCATCTAACCAAGATGTCTGGAAAGTATTGTAGAACTTGTAGAAGAGGTCATAATTAAACACAACATTATCGCGTTAATTGTGATTCATTTTTTAATAATTAATCCTTAATATTTGTTACACCGATTCCTCCTCTAGCTCTTTACAGGCGTTCACTTATCCAAATTATTTAGGGCGATGCGAGTCTTGAAAAGCAGACCTGATAATAAGGTAGTGTTTTCTCTGTGTTTCGTTTATCTCTTGGTTGCGTTAGTTCCGGCAGTTCCAGATTGTTTAGGGGAAGGGAAGGTTGTTTAACTTATGGTCATAAAAAAGTTCGTGATGGCGACCATCCATTCTTTAGTTGGCACAGATATTGAAACTGAAAAGAAATTAATGATTCAAAGATTCAAAAGTTGGGTCCTCACTTGATGTAGAAGATTAAACTGGCGTTAAACAACAGAGAAAAGAAAGACGGAAGAACGAGAAAACAGGTCATAAGTGATTAAACCAAGGTGCTATATATAGTTAAAAATACTACTGCCCACGATTAGCACTTTCACAGGATCTTCGCTGAAACGGCAGAAAATGATCAAACGAGTGGGACCTGAAATTCCACATGTGTGATAGCGAACACGTCTGTTTTTTTTTTTTTTTGTTTTTTGTTTTTAATTTTTTTTTCTCCCTGTTTTCAAAAAGCATTAAACAATAAAAGACTACCATAGACAATTTCTTAAAATCATTTCAAGATTAAAAAATTGCTAAAAAGACCACGACGTTTCGATGTTGGCTAAACATCACTATCAAGTCAAAATATGTTTGTGAGTTCCAGTCTATAAATGCTGAAAAAACAATAGCCGATTAAAAACTATAACGTGAGAAAAAGATGATTAAAAATATCAAACAAAAATTTTTGCACGTATGGAATCCGTCTGGATATTTAAATTAGGCTTAAGATTCTTGATGAAGAGCACTTCAAATACGAAACAATCAATTTTTCCCTGGCACTTTCTTAAAACTGTGAATTGGTTTTCTTTGAAGAGGTTGTTGTTTCTGTGAGTTTCTAAGAAATGTCTACCGATTGCAGAATTTTTGTGCTTAGCAATGCGTTGATGAGGGTGTCGGGCTGTGTATCCGACCCAAGTTGCATCACACAAATCCCATGAGAAAAGATAGACAACAAACTGCCTATTAGCAATTGACGGCTTAATTTCTTTGGGTTTAAGATCTTGCCCCAGTTTCTTGCTCACGAAAACTGGCTGCAAAGTAAGGCCTATCTTATGCTACTTTCGTTATTGTTTCTTTCAGCTTTGACCGCTGAAGTGTTTCGAAAAAGAAAATCGTTGATAGCAGAATTAATAAGACTCATCAGCAGATGGTCAAGGCGACTAAATATAGAGCGCAACTTTTCACATTCATTGGCGTAACATGTGGAGGCGGCGTGGCCAAGTAACCGAGTGGTTAGGGTGCTGACATTGAACTCCGGTGACCCGGGTTCAAGTCCTCCACCCTGCCACTCACTGGATTTGTTCTCGGTTGCCCCAAGTTCAACTCCTTGGCTGCGCTTTGTAAATAGCCCACTGGTCGCCTCCTGCCAGTGGAGATTTTTAAGCAATTAGTTAAACCTTTTTTAACCCCCTCCCAGTTAGCTCAATTGGCTAGAGCACCGGATTGTGTTGTGCGGGAGGTCGAGGGTTCGAACCTCGGCCGGACCAATACTCATAGTCTTAAAATAAGTGAGAAGAATTTGCTATCTTTCTATAATCAAGAAATGGATAGATATTCTAGAATAAACCGTAGTCCCCCCCCCCCTCCCTGCAGGGTTAAGGGTAGGAGACGTTAATTTCCCTGGGTGGATTGGTGGGAATTGTCCCTCAAAAGTCCCTATGGGGAGTGGTCAATTAACCTATGTATGTATGTATTCTGCATTTGTCTAGGCAGTGTGTTGTTTATCTTTTCTCATGGGATTTGTGTGATGCTAATTAGGTCGGATACACAGCCCGACACCTCCATCAACGCATTGCTGAAAACATAAGTTCGGAAATCGCTAGACATTTCTTAGAAACTCACAGAAACAACAACTTCTTGAAAGAAAACCAATTCACAGTTTTAAGAAAGTGCCAGGGCAAATTTGATTGTTTAGTATTTGAAATGCTCTTCATCAAGAATGTTAAGCCTCGTTTAAATATCCAGACGGACTCCATACGTGCGAAACTTTTGTTTATATTTTTAATCATCTTTTTCTCGCGTTGTGGTTTTTAATCAGCTATTTTTTTTTTAAGTATTTATAGACTGAAATTCACACACATATATTTTTTAACTTGATAATGAGGTTTAGCCAACATCGAAACGTTGTCGTCTTTTAGCAAATTTTTAATCTTAAAATGATTTTAAGAAATGTTTTATCGCAACTTTTTATTGTTAAATGCTTTTCAAAATCCCTTCTTGTTTGTTTTCAAAAACCATCCCGTTTACAACAGTCAACAGTAAAACGGAAAGTTGAAAAACGATTTGTTTTCAAAAAAAATCCTTGTTTAAAACTATTTTCAAAAGTCTCCGTGCCCACCAAAGTTATCGGGGTCTTTTTGTGGATAACCGGTGAAAGCGCATCAAAACCACACGTTTTTCAATGAAAACGCAGTAGTGTGGAAAGGACCTTAAAATAAATAGCACTTTACATCAGATTTAAAGCGATCGATCTGTCCATTAACGACGATAAAAATGAATTAATTCCAAGTGAGGGAGTAAGTCAGCTGTCGGCTATTGTCCCAAGCGTACAATAGTTTTTCTTTTGGGTTGTAGTCTACCATGGAATTGTAGCCATACTGGTTCCTGAACTGTATATTGGGGTTCCACTGATTACCAGTCTTTGTGTCATAGGCAAAGTTGATGGTAGTGGGTTGGGCATTGTAACTGTCGATGCAGTAGATCACTCCACAAGCCATGAAAGCGTTGCCCATCGAGCCCATACTTTCTGCGATAAGAACCAACACAAAGAAATAATTTGTAAAATTAATTGCCTTTTCTTCTTAATTTGAATTAATTTGTATTGGAAAGACGTTCATTTCTCAGAAAAATTAAAAAGAAAGTGAAACAAATCCTGAGCGTCCTTTTAAATGCCTAGATTTTGATAATAATGTCAACTAAAATGAGTGCTAAAGAAGCGGCATGTGGAAAAAAACGCGACTGAAGGTTCATTTAACAGTTCTCAAGGCTTGCTGTTCGCTTAATGTCATTTTCATATAAATGAAACCCAAAGCTGCTTTCAAAATCCAAATTGAATTTAGCAATAAAATATGTTCAATAGTACGTTTCCTCTAAAAGGATGTCGCATTTCACGGCAGTATTACGTTGCAAGAAATCTCTTTGAGTTGCCTTTGATGTCTAACATGACTTACCTGTAGACAAGTTGTAGGTGTTTACTACGACGTCCCCTTCAATTTTGGAGGCAGACAATCGATTGCCATTCCCTGTATTGCCCCATAATACCCATAAACCCTGCTCGTCTACTGCCAGGTCCACCCCACTGTATCCACCCCACATGTAGGTTATACGTCTTGGTGAGTATCCACTTAAAGTGATGTTGTTATCGATGTTGCTTGTGAGCAAATTGTACTTTATAATAAACTGGCTATTTTCCCTGCAAAGAAATGCGAGAAATCGTCTAAAAAGTAATTGGGGAATAAACCAAAACATCTTGTATTGATTATTCATTGTAGAAGGCTGTCTGTAAATGAGTAATCAAATGAACCAAGCGAACACAGCTAAGTCCAGAAGTAACTGTTATTGTGATCCATGGGGAAGTCTTTGAGATTCTTTAATCAATTGCTGAGTAGTCAATGAAAAAATTCAAACAAGGAGAGGGAACGCCAACGAATTCGTCTCCCGTGTGTTTAGACATGGAACTTTAAACATTTACTTCTGAGAAAGATTAGAAATAAATAAATAGCTGAGAACGAAAAAATAGAGAATGTAGGAGAAACCTATTGTAATAGAGGTGATTTCCATACACCACTGCCCCTGTTCCATCCCATTTGAAAGGAAGAGTGTAAGTTTTGCGGGTCACTCCTGCTTTGAACTTGTCCAGGCTTTCAAATTCCTCAAGTTGGTTATTAGAGTAATGACTTCCCATAGCGAATATGGTGTCGTTACCCATGACACCCAGCGGGTCTTTCATCCAAGCGCCTTGAGTGGGAGATTTATTGTGGTGAGTAACAGGATTGCCAACATTCTTTAAAGTCGAAGTACAACTGACTGTGGATAGACGACAGAATTCATCATCTTTGAACATAGAAAATATCAAGTAAAAGACCACAGATGACGTCAAAATGTGGTAAAAGCGAAAAAGTGGCACACGAGGCGCACTCGAGTGAGCTGTTGATGTCCTTTTCACATTTAAGATGTGTCCTGTGATCTACTGCTGTACATACCAAGGGCCACATGGAATCTATTTGAATTGAGGAATTTAGGAATTTCATTTGTTCACCACGGGAATGGCAGTAGAAAGGAACAGAACTTTAGTCCGGAAATTGACACCTAACCCCTTCGTACCCACCATCTCACCCCTGGGAGGACATCCACCACACAGTAATCTCGTGCGGGGGAAATTAACGTCTCCTACCCCTAACCCTGCAGCAGACGGGACCTACGGTATTATTCATCCTTATCCGAGAAGACTAGAATATCTATCCATTTCTTGATATTTTAGAAAGGTAGCAAATTATCCTCAGGTATTTTAAGACCATGAGTATTGGTCCGGCGGGGCTCAAACACTCGACCTCCCGCGCAACACAATCCGGCGCTCTAATCAATTGAATTAACCAGGTGCGGTTATAATTATGAAAAAAGGACAAACGAAAACTTGTTAATGCCCAGGTCGTCTATGCGTCTGCCCTCCAATAGATCATGAGTAACAACCAATTAAAATGTACATGTGTATGATTCAGCGTATCATATAAATTGATTCTGATCATGACAGCAGTAGCCAACTCGACGATCACATGCCACAATTTTTAACAGTATTTCGAAGCATTTCTTTATTACAGACGCACTTTATTCCTTATGTTTCTGATCTTCTCTTCGTATGTGTAGTTTATGTTACATGCAATTTATCACCGAAGTAGTTACTGACCGTTTTCACATCGAATGCCTCTGTAATTTGGTGGGCAGGTACAAGTGTAGCCATTGATACCATCCACGCATGTTCCACCATTAATACAAGGGTTGCTTGCACACTCATTCACATCTGTCAAATAATCATATTCACGAAAAGAAAAATCGTTATCTTAGATGGGCGGGCGTGATATTCCTAACCATCCTCATCGTTCGTTTTGTAAGTGTCTTTTCTGTTGATATTTTTGGAGAGTATTTAATATAAACGAGACATCTATAGGAGCTTTTCAGTTACTAGTTTATCTATCCATGTATTTAAACATTAAGCATTTTTTTGAGACGTGTCATCATTAGGACGACTCAAAGTTAACAGCCCCATGAACTTACTTTCAACCTAGCCATCTACTTTGTTTTCTCTTCATTGCAGAACCCATCTATTTCTACAGTTTTGACCGTCATTCGTACAATAATCGGGATGATCATGAAACAAGTACTACAAACCAAAGATAATAACCATTCTTATGGACCTTATGAGATACTTGGTAGCTGTCAACACCCCTCTCATGCGATAGCCCCCCACCGTTTATCAAATTACTCTACATCCTTACAGGTACAGACTTTTCCATCTCCACTGAAACCAGGTCTACAAAAACAACTGTACGAGCCTTGAAGATTCTGACACGAAGCATTGACGGCACAAACGGGGACTGAAGCAGTGCACTCGTCTGCGTCTACATTTCGGTGAGAGAAATCGAAAAAGAACATAAGGAATCAGTTCTTAGAAGAATGACTATCGCTATTAGTTAATTAATGGATTGATTCCATTCTACTTATTGAAAATTGACTTCCCAAAATTATCTTCGCGACGATTTCCATCTAAAACTTTCTTAAAGTTTCCTAACTCGGATGAAAAGGATGTTCCTGAATTTTATGGGGAGTCAATGTAACTATTTAGGATTAACTATGGTTGCCAACCTTAGAAAAGGTCACTAACACAAGTAGTGCAAAAACAGTATGCGTTAAAAAGTTACCTTCTGTGTCCATGTCGCAGTAAGCAAGTACAGACTCCTCTTTCATAATAGAATTAAGCCAGTGTTTTCCGCTAACCGCCTGTCCATCCTCACTCGCCTTGATTTCTTTGCATGATTCAGCGGGTAGCTCTGGAATGGAGCCCAAGGGGACTAAGGAAAAAAGGCATAAAACCTTTTTTTTTTTCTAATCAAAATTCAAAATTTTACTTTAGAACTATACATTTACCTCTTTTTCTATCTCGTTTGAAATAATATCTGTTGGGATCCGGTACAAAATCCTCAGGTTTGGCTTCTTTAATCCTATTGCTGAACTCACAGGTTGATTGGGAGAGAACGTAATTGAAACTTTGACATGTAACGTCTCTGTAACAGGCCTTCAAGCACTCGTGACCGAGCGATACGCTCATCGTTTTGTAAATGTGACCCTTCAGCATCATGCCTGTGACAGAATGTTCTGCTCCAGCCCTGCAATCATGAGCACTTGTCCTTGGCGAAGATTCACAAAGCAACAGAAGAACTGCGAGGGAAACTAACCGCGCCATTGCAAAGCCACTTTATCGATCTGACTACGATCTGAAAAAAGTTATAAACCTGAGATTGGTTTATCTTAAGGAAGAGCTTATGAAATGAAATAGCTCCAAGTAGAGAACTTAACCCATTGCGCATGGTCGGTCTATCGTGAAAACTTTACATTACCCAATGACGCGGTGAAATTTCATCTGTTTCAAATTTAATTTTTGGTCTTATTAAGTATCTTCACTTCATCAGTCTAAAGCTCCACGTATTTTCGTCCAAAAAAAAACTTCCCATAATGTTAGCTATGAAGATGATGATAAGGTTTTGTCTTACTTAAACTTCAAAGAAAACGATTCAGCGAGCTGTGAAGCTCAATGTGAAGACACAATTGATTCCACCGTTATGGGATATTGCTGGTTTTGGGACACTATTATTTCACTCTTGAATAAAGTTTAAAATAATGCTGCGTCTTAAAGACTTTTTGTTGGGCTTTTGAACATATTTATGTGCCGGCTACTTGATTTTATAAGAAGATTTTGGACAAAATGAGATGACTTTATTATTAAAAAGGACTGATTTTGAGCAGGTGCATCTCATCATATTCGAGATGGTTTTTTCATCATCTTCTCACTTTCTTCATATCTACTAGGCCGTAGGGTAATATTTGACATATACGCTGCTTGCATATAGACACTGTACATGGGCCGTTTGTATCATTTATTTTCAATTTAGCTGGACCTTTTATCTAAACGTTCATTTTTGTGAAGAGTGTCAGGAGAGCCGAAAGCTAACAATGGAAGGACATTTATTTGATCAAATAAGCCCTCTTACAGAAAAAGCCTGATTGCGTAAAACCGAAGGTGGTTCGGGTTAGACATCGTGTAATATGCAGGCCATATGTGTTCAGCCTTCATGATTACTACTGACTAAAAAAAAAAAAAGTATTCCACTAAGTATCAAGCGAAGGCCGTTGACCTGGTGCCGCGTATGAAAATCAAACATTTTAAATCTGTAGCCCTGCAGCAAATCTTTAGTGTGAACGTGAAAGCACATGAATGATAAGTGTGTGATGTAAAGACACAAAATCATTTCTCTTACCGGATATTTACACGCAAGTCCTTTAAAACGACACCTCAAACTATTGATATTTCAGTATGTATTGTTTAGCAGTGAGTAAGTTCGTTTTGGGTTGGAACTCACAAGAAATAACTGTAGAACAAGACGAACAGCGTCAATCTTGAGAAACTAATAATACAATGTGCCAAGATACATATGCAAAGATGTAACAACCGTCCCTACCACCGAGATCAGAATGCAAACATTTTTTTGGATTCAGTAGTGCACCACTTCCAGCTGTCTAATTCTGACAGCGCAGAGGAGATAATTATTTACTTCGTTCAGAACATTTAATAAGATCTCGGGCTTTTCAACTGGGTAACGCTATCAATTTCATGAAAAATTCAAATGCTGCGAAAAAACTAATTAACGAACCTTATTAAAAATTTATCATATTTTTGTTGGGTGTCACCATTCAGCAATATTGAATTTTTGAGAGCTATGGCCGTTTCCAAATCTTAAAAGCGAACTTTTCGTTTTATGCATCTTGGCAATTAGTTCTATATGACCATGTCAGTTCGATGTCATTATCAAACTAATTTATAGAATCCTTCGTATACATGGCAAATTTAAGTTAGTTTGGTTTTGATTGTTCATAAGCGCAAAGTACTCAACGAAACAGTAGAATGAGAAAGTGGCTTAAATTAAATAAAACTTAGCCAAAAGTGTGAAGCATTTATTAGCCATATTTCAAAAGCTGATGTCAGTGGTATTGGTTTATGTAGATTGGTTGATTACTGCCAAGGGCCAGTTTTATGCGGGTCTTTTAGTTAATCAAGTATGTACCACGCGAGAAAGGCATATATCACTGATATAATAATTTTAGTTTCCAGTTATAATTCTGAACACGAGTTATCTCGCAGATGGAATAGATCGCTTTCCTAAAATTTGATATATTGGGTGACGTTTTCTTTAGTAAAGGGCAATTCAATTTTGACGCAGTACGTGCTTCAGGTGAATTGATTAATGTGTGCCATTGAATTGGAAAATTTTAAAAGAAGTAAAGAATTTTACGTGCATACACTTACTTATTTTTTGTTTTAATATTTTTTATATGTACAGTCATGACCTTGCCTTAACCTATACGTTTTACAATGTGGAGATAAAAATATATGTTATCCTATAAGATTTCAAATTAGACAACCCATAAAGAAAGTAAACAAACAAAAAACAAAACAAAACACGAGCCTTGCAATCGAGTCAACTAATGCAAGACAAGAGATCTTTTGCACAGGGCTACTTTGCTTTCTAAGTTTTTCCTATTTGTGTAACTGAATAATAATGGCAGTTCAAAACCCTTTTGGAACTCAGACTCGATGAAAAGCATCTTTTCATGACTTTGGAAATGGCATGCTGTCCAGTCGCCAAAAGCTAGATTCATACCAAAGATAAAAGTTTTAAAAAGCTTTCATTGTCTTCCAACACGCGTGAACGTACTGACGATGAATCCGTCGTGATAATTTCGCGCCGCAATATAGGAAGCTGTTCAGTTAAAAAACATTACCAAACATAAACATTTTAAACAGGTGTCGATGTCTTCCAACCAATATGCATGTTTTGGCGATGAATCATCCGTGTTGATTTCGTGCAGCAATATTGGAAACTCTTCAGACAAAAATATTATTTTGTAGCAAACACTAGGCTTCCGCCATGAGATTTTAGCAATTCTTTCCAAAATATCTTCAAAGGAAGTTGCGTTTCGCCTCAAATGTTTTATTTGTTTTCTTGTTTGTTCATTTGTCCTTATTTTCAAGGACATATAACGGAAAACTAATTGATATTTGTGCCTCTGGAACAAAAACAAAGCAACACCAAGCAAAGAAAAGAACCAAACAAAGCAAAACCTACAAAAAAAAAAAAAAACAAACCCAAGCAAAATGAAAGGCTAGCTCTTTTTTTTTCAACGAGTTCCTTAGGATTAAGAACAAACTGTTCCTTATGTATGATGCATGATCCTCGCAGTAGAGAGCACTATTTATGCAATAGCGAAAATCAGACCTGAAAAAAATCAGGCCCAAACTGTTCCTTATAGTGTTAATTACACCTGTAATACATAATGCATAGAACGGGTTCACGATTGATGTCATTTGCAACCAACTTCCATTCAAAAACACTTGAGAAGATAGAAGAATCATGAGTTTTTCGTCTGAGAATCTTTGAAAACTCTATACAATTCCTTATAATAAATTGTATGAAGCTCTCTGGGATAGTTACAGTGCAAGCCCTGTGTCTTCTCATGGGAAGCTGCAGAGAAAGGACCCGTAAAGCGTATAAAACCGATAAGGAACCAAAACAATCAGTCTCACAGGGAATGGCAATACAACCAAAGTAATGATAACAACAGCCAGGCACCTGAATTGGGCCAATAAGTTTTATTCACTCCATTATTGTCCCAATAAATGTGAAGCAATCCATAATGCATCAATGGTTACCAAGAACTAATGAGGGCATGTCCATGAATGACCTAAACCGACTCACAAGAAGTACGGCCGCTAGACTTCATTGCTTTACCAAACATCAACCCATGCTACTCATTCTGACCTTTCCATAAGCTCCTCTGGGTTATCTTTCGAAAGAACTGAGACCCAAACGCTACTAAAAGTGAATAAAACAGATTTGGAAGACATAGCCCTTAGACGCTTTATTAATCTCGTCAACTTTAAAAAAATATCATTCTTGGTTATAAACCCAACCAATTCATATATATCTTTATTACACCACTCGGGCAGTCAGAGGGCCAATAACTAAAATCAACCAATCAAAATGCTCTATTGCCGGTCAATATTCTCTCACTATTGGACCGGGTCCCGAATGGTCCCGAATGATGCCGCACTTGTGTCCCTTTGAACTTCAGTCGTATAACAAATCTCTTATTAACCAAGCTTGCTCGGGACCATACTGGAATAATATCGGCCCACGGTCTTTTTTGTACGAACCTCGCTGCGCTCGGTCCGTACTATCAAGACCTCGGGCCGATATTCTCCCAGTACGGCCCTCGCGCTTGGTTAATAAGATATGCGTATTACCTTTTCATCAGTAAAATGACAGGAGAAATATTGCTTGTACGAATCGTTTCTATGTTCCAATTACATGTAAACGGTGCAAGTGTAACTCTAGACGGTCGTTCCTATTCTAGGGTCTCCAGTAATGTTTTCTAGGGGAGGGATTACTTCAGAACAGTTTCTTTAACTCAATTGATGAGCCCTCTCATTTAAACTCTTTGTTAGTGAATAAAAATTTCTTATCTTTTTATGCTTTACTTAATTAAATAGCTTTTGAATTATTAGGCGCATCCAAGATCTCATTGCGTCTTTAATTTGGCATCGGTTAAATTTTTGCCGTGCAGCGAGCGTAGCAAGCGAGCAGCAATATAATCAGGATTTAAAAGAATATGGGGTCTGCGAATTCTCGAAGTCATCACTTTTTATCTGAATACATCGCAGCTTGTGTTTAGCGTTGACAGTCAATCGTCTTGTAAATCTACTTTCCTAAATAAAGGCAAACTAATAAATCGCGAGTAAATTATGGTAAATCTGCTATCTTAATCACTGATCAATGAATAACTCTACCTTGCGTAAGTTGACACACCGGTAAGCCGGAAAGCAAAAGGCAGTTGACCTATGGTGTTCGTAGGGCCTGTGTAACTCCTGCCATTCGCTATCGCTTGTAAATCTTCTGCACTCAAAGTTAACATCTTATTAGGATATCTCTTAATGACTTTCCTTTGCGATGTAATGATAACGGTTATCCTTAAGAGGTCATTTCCCCATCTGTATGTTGTTCAGGTTTGTCAAAGCCGCGGATGAGATTGTGTTAAGGAAAAATTGCTGTTATGAATAGCAAATATGTAATTAACTCTGGTCTAGTTCATTCATTTCAGCCATTGTTTACGGAATAGTAGTTATAAAAAGGATACCTATAAAACATGATATGTGACTGCAATTGATAGAAGATCAGAAAAATAATAATAACAAGTAAAGGAATTTAATGAAGGAATTAAAAGTTATTACTAAGGATAGGGAATATCTTTTAAAAAAACTATTATATTGTCATAAAAATAAAGGAACAATACAGAAAAGAGATGAGATAAATATATTCCTCTCGTAAGTTGTATGACGGGCTTTCTTTAACCGAATGCACCTCACGTAAAGAACTGACGAGGTGGAGAATATTGATTTCGAACATTGGTTGACGCTAAAGCGAATAATGTATACAGATAATGCTTATAAACGTTTACTAGTGTATCTAAAAGATAGTAATGTTGCGGCAGATTCTATTAATAATGACATAGTTTGCGCAGTGATTCATCTACCTGCGTGTTCCAAGACTTACGTGGAGAGGCATAACTCTGACGTTAATTCCTGTGGGAGAGAAAGTATATATTAAAGCAGAAAATAGCGCGTGCACAGAAGAAAAAATACTGCCTTTTTCAAGAAATGATCGAAGAAAATGATCTAAATCATTTCGAAGAGTACAGAAAAGGATATGTAACCCTTCCTTTATTTCAAACAGTTGAATGAGTATAGGCGTTATCATTTCATTATTAGATTTCGATGAAATTTTCCAGTCATTCCCGACAAAAGCAATCAATTTTCATTTTTAATGGCTCTTTTCATGAACCCGTCAGTAATATCATTAGCTAAGGTCGCGTTCATAAGTCAGATAACCTAGGCTGCTGTATTGCTCAAGTACTTCAGTTTGGCCACCGTAGTCTTTTCAACTTTTCAGTACAATATGAATAAATTCGATCCTAGGGTTAAACAGAAAGGTTGGATTTTCATTCATCGATTTTTCTTCTCTACAATTTTTTCGTAAAACAATTATTGATTTTTTTTTTGTCGATTGTTGATTACCCAGGCGAGCAGCTATACAAACTCATTAAGAAATGTGACAATTTAAGTACGCAATCTAACTTTTATCTTTACAATGCTTCATTCTTAAATTCCAAATATAACAAACTAATTCTTCCAAGATTGCAGTTTTAAAGTCTATTTCTTTTTGAAAGCATCATCATTTCAGGAAATAAAGAACGCTTAAGACAGGAAAATGAAACCACGACGAACGAAGACAGGAAAAAATATATCTAAGACAGAGACATTGACACTAAAATGTAATGTCTACTAATGAGCATTGTTTCCGTCAAGAAAGAAAGGAATTTGGAAACTCACGACGTGACTATTGTTGAGATTTCTTCGATAACACTTGAATCCAGTAACAAAAATTGAAGGAGAAAAGAAAAGGCAAGAGAAAAGGAGAAAATATAGAAAGAAATACATAATTTTGAATCGTGATAGGGCTGAGAAAATTATTCTTCGAACACAGCTGCTATCAGAGCGTGAGAAACAGTTCCAAGATCACAGATATTGTTTGGAATTACGGACCTCACAGCTAAGTAAACATTACATCTGAATGAATTAGTGAAGTGCTTGGAGTTATTGTGAAAAAGGCAAAGAGGCATATTTCAAGTACTTCTTCTGCTAAGATCAAAATTCCCTATCTTGGCAGTTAAAAAGCATCATGAAGGATTGTTTGATCCTCCTTTATCTGGCCGTTTTTTTCTGCAGCTCCAGCGTAGATGGCGGGCTTCTGGATGATAAAGCAAAAATTCTTACTGATTTTAAGGCAAAATACAACAACAGCCAGTCTGATATCATTTTTCTCATGGATGTCTCTGGCAGCGTGAGCAATTATGGTTTCCAATCGGAGAAGATTTTTGTCGATAATCTTCTTAATGAGTTCAGCGTAGCCCCCTATTCGACACGAGTTGCTGTTATCACATTTGGTGCCGATGTTAAGACGGACATTAACTACATTGACATTAGCCCTCTATCAAAAACGCATCAAAAGTGCGAGTTTCAGCCTTGGTTTCAGTACAACGTGAAGCATCGTTATGGACGGGCCACAAACATGAGAGATGCCTTCCAGACAGGCATAAATATCCTTCAAAGCGCAATGGATAATCAGCGACGGAGGAGCGGGGTACACACCGTGGCAATCATGATAACAGACGGATGGTGGAACAGAGGTAGTCCTGTAGAGAATGCGAACAGACTTAAAAGTTCTTACGCGACGGACATAATCACAGTAGGAGTAGATGGCTACAATGCAGGACAGTTACAACAGTTGGCGAGCTCAAATGATCTTGTTCTTGGTTTCCACACCTTCACGCAGTTTCGAGAGCTTGCAATGTTTATAAGAGGAGGTAAGGGTTGTAGTCCATTCCTTGAATGTTTTTGCACAAAATATCTATTTCGAATATATCTAAATTTGATAAACAAGGACCAAAAGTTAAAGGACTAAATGCTCAGTTTTTTCTTAAAAATACCTTTTTAAAACGAAGTATTTTCCTCTTCCTTTGTGCTCGAACTCCTAGGAAAAATCAAATAATTGAACGACTGCAGCGCATTTTCTCTTATTCTTGTACATTGTCAGGTTATCCAGCCCCAGATAATAGAACTCTTAAACCGGCCTTGAACATGATGTGTTTGGGGCTCACTTAATATAGGAATCTCTGTTAAAACGAATCGCCAGTTTTAATTGCTTCTTTGTTGTCCATGAAATGAGATTGCCAAAGTTTAAGGTAATCCATCCATTCGGTGTAATCATTTCAGTTTTCATTTTTATATGCAAGTAGAAGTGTGGTAAAAGTCCAAATTGTAAGTTGTAATGATAATATTAGTAGCAATGTCTTCCTTAACATATCAATTTTCTTCTTAGAAAGGCTAAATTACCTTTCTATTACTCAGCTTTTACTGTTTCATTGTTTTTATATATTTGCTCAATTTTTGGCCACAATTAAGTAAGAATTAGCACTCGTATTTTTGTTCTTTAAGACTTCACTTTGCTTTACGGTGTGCTCATCTATCCTAAATTGCTCTGAGATTCATTTAAGAGCATAAAGTTTGATACAATTTGGTTTGTGGTCACCTTTATAAGTTTAAGTTCTTAAATATATTTTGGCGGGGGCCTAGAAACATTTGGATGCCGTTTATTGTTCTAACATTATTTCTGGCAAGTAATTTGATTTCCCAGTGATACTATCAATATTGTTCAGCCATGAAAAAGAAAATAATAATGATTTCATCGTTCGGGAATGTCCCAGTAAATTAAAAAAGAATTAGTTCTCGAAAAGAAGGTTATCAACCGGATATATACATGTGCATGATGTTGGTTTCCCTGTAGGATAGTACGATACCCAATATGCGATACATATATCTCAAGTCAGCTCAACATGACAATATTTTGTTATCATTTTTTCCTGAAACAGACGCCCACGACAAAACTTTTATGGAAGTGGACGCAAGTGAATGCACCTCTGGTGGCTGCGATTCCAAAGCCTTTTGCGCCTGCGGTACAGTCAGTGCAGTGTATCAGTGCGTCTGTAGACAAGGATATCGAGGAGATGGCCTTCTAAATGGCGAAGGCTGCATTCGTAAGTCCATATTAATACCCTGTCATAAGAAAGATCGGTATCGTTATCGTTATCATATTATCAACATAATCGTCGTCGTTTCGTGGTAATTGTTGTTCAAGTTGTTGTTATTGCCGTATTTGTTGTTGTTGCTTTTTCGGTGGATTTAATATGTTCCCTGTTTTGAACCCGATCGTTCGACTTCATCACTGTGTGATAATTTCCCTTTTTTTCGTCCTCACTGTTGCAATTGTGTTCCCGTAATTTTTGTTTCCATCGTTTTCGACAACATAGTTACGTTTCCAACAGTCGCTTCACCAATTTTGGCCATGTTTTCTTTTCTCTTTTTATTCCGGATTGGTAGAAACTCTTGACTTTCAACAAACCTTCTGGCCACTATTTCTCTACTATGGAGAATATCTAACTAGACTAATGGTTTAATCAAGTCTATGAGGACCAAAAAGAACGAGTAACTTATTTTCTACAGCAAACATAATAAGCACCCCGCAAAAGTCAGCGTTCAAAAGATGTCAAGGAATTGATTGGTACATGGTCAAAAGAAAAAAAAAAAAGAATTCTCGAAGGCACTCATCTAGTAGTAATTGTTGAAAATTTAATATTCTTTTCCTTTTTCTATTTCTAATATTGGACTCCGACAAGTTGGCATGAAAGGTCTTTTCTTTAACGTGAAATGCTACTTAAAATCTCTTTTCCAAAACAAGCGAGCGTGAAATAGCAAAACATTTTTTATGAAAATGAGTGTTTTATTTCCAGTTTGTGGACGTGGAACGTATAAGCAGTGGGCTACTCCAAGTGAGTGTATTGCGTGTCCGGAACATTCTAGTACAGATGCAGAGGGAAGTATTTTGAAAAGTCAATGCAAATGTAAGACTGGGTACGAAGGCGACCCGTCAAGAGACATCGCTTGTACAGGTAAAGATAACTGATAAACTAAAAGATACTGAAAAAAAGGCGAAAATGCCGTAGCCTTAAAGTAAGCACGATTTTGCCAACAAATCATTACACAAAACTATGGCCAATAGAGCAGAGCGAGAAAACATCGGACGTGCGCAAGGGGTTCAATTCTGGCCGCCCGTGCGCCATTTTCCCGCACTCGATTTCAAAGGAAAACATAAGATACAACCAGTGTCTTGCCAAGTAAGCAAAAGGAAATTGAAACGCGCATAGAAATCTGCAAAAAGAAACAAAATTAGGAAAAAGGTAAACTCGAGATTTTTCCAACACAAAGTTCAACCCACTACGGAAAGTATTATAATCCAGTGACTTCGGGTATCCTATTGACTGACAATTCTACTTCGAGCTTGACCAAACAAGTTTAAGGCTTCTAAAAAACCGTACCTTATTGGCTCTTGCGTCTTTTTTTTTTTTTTTTTTTTGGAACTCTTGTGACACAACTTGATTCTGACAACTACTATGATCAAGGATTATTTTATTACACGGTGTATTAACACTCTTCTGTCTATTCTAGCTGTTAAGTGCGAGCAGCTCCTAGCACCTCAGAATGGCGGTTTCCTTGCAGCATGCGATATAGTTTACGATAGTGTATGTGAATTCCAGTGCAGTTCTGGGTACAATCTTGTCGGGTCGAGCTCACGAAGATGTCAAAGTAATAAGCAATGGAGTGGAACAGCAGTGGAGTGCCAAGGTTAGTGGACTCTTAACTTGACTCTTGTAACCTCATATGAAACATTTACTGAAATAAGAAAACAACATTAACATATATGAGAGCGATCCTCGCAGTAATGAACGCTACTTATGTAGTAGTGAAAATAAGGCCTCAAAAAATTCACGCCCGTACGGTATTTGAACCCATAACCTCTGCGATACCGGTGCAGTGCTCTACCAACTGAGCTAACAAGCCAACTGGGAGCTGTACTTCAGTTTTTTTAAGAATTGTATGAAAGCAATTCTCGCAGTAAGAACACTACTTATTTCCTATTTTCACTACTACATAAGTAGTGTTGATTACTGCGAGGATCCCTTTCATACATTTCTTAAAAAACTGCAGTATACAATCATATATGAATTTCACATATTCAAATTCATTCAACATTAACATGTTGTGTTAGATATTCGTTTCTATTTCTTTTTAGTCATCACTTGCGCAGTTTTGCCACCACTAAACTATGGTGACAAATCATGTTCTGGCAGGGGATATGAATACGGTAATATTTGTACTTTTACCTGCGACGTGGGATATGAACGCAGAGGAAGCGCAACCAGAATCTGTCAGGCTGATGCCCAATGGTCTGGGAGTGCAACGTCTTGTGAAGGTTTGTAAAATTGACTTCTACACGAGTGAGTGAAAAAGGGAGCCAAATAGGTACAGATATGTTAGAAGGGGTGACAGAATATGTGCAGTCAGGTAGTACATCAACTCAAAGTTTGTGAAAATTAAAAAGATGTGGCGGTATATGTGTTCAAAAGTATTACATACAATTGCAATCTATCTCGTACAGCCGACGTTCGCGATGACTAGCGCGACGTAGGTATCAGCGAAGTCGCTGTATCTCAGCTACTACATTCCCCCTATATCAATCTCTTTTTTTATTGAACGACTTCGACATTTAAGTGTAATTAAAGACAGACCTGTAAATGCTACACAGTTTAATTTCAAGATTTATTCGTATGGAAATCTTATCCCTGAGATTTGGATGGAAATCGGTCAATAAGTCACAGAGATATTTCATACAGTACGATAAAGGTCTGAAGGTTGGTAACAAAAAAATAATAAACACAAAGTTATTATTTTGTCATCAAATTTGAAGCTCGTAAGTGTCCAGCTCTTCGTCGGTTGGCTTTTGGTGACGTTGAACCAGAGGATTGTGTGACGACACCGCAACCTTATCAACGAGGATGTACCATGCAATGTGTCTCCGGCTACACCTTAAATGGAGACAGCAGACTGGAATGTGGGTCAGATGGAAATTGGGTTGGAACTTTTCCAACCTGTGAAGGTATTTCTGAATCTTTCTGTAGAAGTATGTGGTAGGGGATGAGTGAGTTACTAAGCGACTGCCGAAGATAACTTAGCTAGTATCCACTAGCCCTGTTCTTTAGTTCTGCATTTCATGTTTTGGTTTACAGAAAAAAAATGTGTGTTTTCGAATAAATTTTAGCTTTACTTCTAAAAATTGGTAACTGTTAATTATCATAACTTACTACGCTTTTTGGTATGCCGCAAAATATAATCTTTATTGTAGGTGTGTTATGCTTTGTTTATCTCCAGTATTTGGCCTTCTCGTCCTCAATTTTTGTTCACTTGTTCTTTTCCAACCGATGATTTCAACTCTTACAAATCAGCTTCTATGTTTCAATTTTAATTTTAAAATTTTAGTAACCTTTCAAGTCCTAACCTAGCTGCCGTTCCACATTGTCTCAATTACAGATCGGCAACCACCATACATCACCTGTCCACCTGACGTGAATAACGGCACGGACCCCGAGAGGGCGACACGGAGTGTAACCTGGAGTGATCCCGTTGTCAGTGACAATGCAGAGTTGCACGATCCGAATGCTGCTCCCACAGTTACTAGATCACCTGAGATCGTATCCCCGTACGACTTTCCCATTGGCACTACTCGCATTACGTACACTGCAACGGACAAGGGAGGCCTAATCCAGGCGTGTGTCTTTACCGTAACAGTCTCTGGTGAGTCACCAATTATCATGAAACTAGAATTCAAATTTCCTCAATCAATCAATCAATCGACTTTATTAAACGAGGGTAACACGGGACAGTGCTTCAACTGAGTAACTAGTGGCCCTCTCTAGTGTCTCCTTCTCTCTCTTCCTTCCCCAACCTTCCCTAATGAAAAGCTGGAGATGTAAGGCTTATATTCAGAGGGTTGTGGAACAATAATGAGTTTTCTCCTAGGCGTTCAGTCTTGTCAACCCCAACCTTCCTCCTTTACGCGACTCGACCCAAGCCTCCATCTTTTTTTCGCTTCGCCGACACCATCGTGCCGTTTAATATTTTCGCTCCATTTTACGCCTGAAATAGGCTAGGATTTCTTCAAATTAAAATAACATGAAGTACGTCGTCGCATACAACCACAACCAAACATACTCTGATAACTCTTGGTGCTTTTCATGCTAGTGTTCCCCAAATAGCCAATCGCTTATTCCAAGGAGCATCAGTCTTGATGTTCGACTCACTTTTTCACCCCGTTATTCATTTTCATTGAACCATATCCCTAGTCCTTTACCCCTGTATCTGGTCATTTATTTTTGTTCCTGTCAATGCATTTGTTTATCAATCTTTATTTCTTTATATCTTTATTTGATTATTAATTTTTTCAATTATCTTATTTAATTATTTATTTATTATTTATTTATTCATTTTATATTTTAACTCAGATAACGAACCTCCTGCAATCTACTGCCCTCAAAATATGGAGGTCCAGAAGAAGAGTGACACACCAACTATAAAAGTCTATTGGCCACCACCGACATACCGAGATAATTCCGGTGGGGCTATCACCGTCTTTACTGAGTCCATCAATGGCTCAGATTTTAGAACTGGTTCATATCCAATCAAATACACAGCAACGGACGAGAGTAACAACAAAGGATCGTGCACGTTTATTATCGTCATTTCTTGTAAGTTTTAATTCTTTTCATATAAAGCTGTTTTAAGAAAGGTAGTCGGAAAAACAAAAAGGGTAATAGTGCACATGTTAATCCAAAAAGGTATTGTGGGGTACTTTTCGGGCCATAGGTACTTGACCTCAGGATTTCAGAGAAATCTGGGAAAATGTCACTGTAAGGAAGAGGCATAGTGAATTTTGATTAATTTATTTATTTAAATGACTTGTTGAAATTGATCACTGGATATCCATTTTACCATTCGAAATTGTAGAGTGCACTTTTATTAATTTATTTTTTTTCCAACAACCTTTCTCGAAACAGTTGATACCAAACATATGATACCTGTAGCGGCGATTCCTTTGCATGATATTACATATAACACGTCCACTTTCAAATAATGTAATACAGTTTTATTCATTCTGCGGAGGGACACACTGGCAGGCACTAAATCGATAGGCACGGGGCTGTGGCCCGGCCGGGTACCTGTGTTTTGTTATCGGACAAGTCGCTTCACCCTACCGGAGTGTGAAGCGTTATTAACGAAATGTCATAGGGAGGAGGGGGGTGGGGGGGTAATAACCTGCGTTGAAATAGCATCTCATCAAAAGACTGTAAGCCAACCAAAGTAGGAACTTCAACTGAGCTTGCTCTAAGTAAACGATCTTGAACAGTAAGTTAGAGACCTAAGGGAAGTCACAACGGCAAAAGCATCATGAACATGGCCAAATAAAATATTTAGTGAGCACAACAATAGCTCAGTGCGTGTGTTTTGCAACTTTGTACATTTCTTTGCCGTTCTTAGAAAAAAAAAACAACGAGAATCACCTAAATTTTAGTGGTCTGAGAAGGAGAATCTTGACGGCGAGCTGATGACGTTTCTCTTTCATACAATTCTGACATATGTTTTGCTGAAAATGTGATGTATTAGAGGACAGTTGGTACATCGACGCATTTGCGAAATACTCAAGAAAAATAAGATTTTCTCATTTAATCGATGTCTTACTTGGCGTTTCCTTCCTGACAGCTCAAGGTACATGTAGTTGAAAGGAAACAGACGTAGAAATATAAACCAGCAGGAATCGAAGCATTCGAAACTACCACTGCATTAGTCATTGTGGAGTATCTAGCATAAAAAGGTCCAAAACGTTAAAGCATCTACAATTCGATCTTAATCTTTCCAAAACGTTCATCGCGTTAAATTCTGAAATAACGACATCTTCCTGATATCTTGTTTTACGTAGCTGTGAAATGCAAGCCCTACGATCCCCCAATCAACGGCCTTATTTCCTGTGCACATTCTGATGCCATCGGAGGAGAAGGCTGTACACCCCAGTGTAGCAGCAAAAAAGAATTCGCCCGAGTCCCGGCTACCTTCTACGTCTGTCAAACAAGTGGCAACTGGTATGTCTGGGATTTTCGTCCCACTGTATCGTTGGAAATGCCGTGGCCTGATTGCACGGGTAAGTCGACTAACATTAGCGATAAGAAATATCCTCAGTTTATGCCATAACTGATTTGACAAATCATGGGTAACGAACGATAAAAGTACCATGCGATGGTCACCAAATTTGACAATGAAACAATGAGATAAATATTACGTAAATTAAAACCTGCGAGACAGACGAAGTGAATGTTTAATCACAAAATTTATGCTTATTTTATTCTTCGTTTTTTATAATTTCCATGAGCGAGACCCCACCATGAAAAAAAAAAGACAACCAAGGAACTCATAACGTAGGAAGAAAGGGAACTGTACGACTTACGGAACGAACTTGGATTGGAACGGTTAGAGCTAAAATAAATTCGTTTAAAAACCCATCAGAACGTAGCGCGTTTGGATTGAGTGTCGTGAGATCAAACCCAAAGCAACCAAAACAACCAATCTGAAGAAATGAAAATGCTTTTAAGAGCCAAAGACTAACTCAAAGAAAAACCAAGCAAACCGCCAAAAGAGCGGGAAAATGTGAGCAATCAAATCGCGATTGGTTTTAGTTTTGCATCTGATTGATTAAAAGAGTGGCGGAAATCAGTTCTGGACCAAACAACATGAAGTAAAGCAAAACCAAAACAATCCCCAGTTACTTTCGACACTCAATCGACATTTCTCTAAAGGCAAAGCGGAGAAACTTTTAACAGCTGCGATGCAAAATTTCCATAAAAACTTTCTGAATTGACGAAAAGTTCAATTAAAATCGAGAAACTTTAAGTAAACAGCAATAAATGGGTGGTTAGTAGATGCAAGGTTGCGAACAGTAATTATTGTTCTTTTGGAAAGCTGTGCAAACAAAATTCAGAATAAAGACATTCACATATTAAAATGTTTTACTTGTAAAAACCCCAGGCTGAAATTAAAATGGCTATTTCCTTTTTCAGAGGAGTATGTTCCAGGTGCTGCACGTAAAGGCATGGAATGGCAATACTTTGTCGGAGACTGCTCAGATCCTGCTGTACAACAACAAGCCAAAGAAAATTTTATAAGAGGATTCAACGAAGTGTTCTCTCCAAAAGACCCCAACTACTGTCAAAGGGAAAAAATATGCGCCCTGGAAAATATCAAAATTACTTGTGGAGAGGTTCAGAGAAGGAGGCGAAGAAATGCACAAGTAAACAGTCTTTTTATTTACCGCCAGTTCAGTACTATTAAAACTAGCATATAATGATACTTTAAATGGCACACTATGCCATTTTCATACCTATGAGTTAGCCAATATTATGATATTTTGGTGGGTTCAAGGCGCGCCAAGATGTAAGATGTAGGTGTACATATAGATAGAGGAACTGTAACAGTTCTAATTATGGACGCCTTGCAGAGGCGATTATTCTTCAGTTCAAACTCGATCAACTCACCTGCGAACATATCCTACCATGTGTTTATTGATACGAGGGCTTCTACAATATGTATTTACATAACTGAATTTCTTACCAATTTGGTTTATGTGTCTGATTTGTTTAGGCTGTTCTTACCATCGAACTCAATGTTGAGGTTATTACACAAAATGACGACTTCGACAAGGCCAAGTCTGACTTGGAGGGGAACGTTACCAACGCGAGGAATGCAGATTCAATGAAAACAATCCAGGCTAATTCCCAGACAATGACACTTAAAACCGTCAAGGAGACCCCCACAACTGGAGTCTGCGTCGATGGAGCCGTGTTTGGGCTCAATCAGGGCCAAGACTACCTCAATAACATTGACCACAGTCAGAGATGCCGTAAGTGCCCTCTAATCTGTGAACTTCCGCTAAATGTTAAATTGTTATCTTTGTCTTTTTTTTTTATCTTATCGAGTTCAAAAGCATATATGACTCATGTTTGCGAAAACAGGAAAATGTGATTAATTTTCATGACAACTCTTTTTTAAGTGTAGATATTTCGTTTTCCGTTCGTTTTCGCCACGAGAGCGGTTCAAGGGGGCAACAACTCCATAATGTGATCTCCTTTTCCTCCCCGTCTTGATATCTTAGCTCCAGTCGTGCAGCATCATTCAGATATCCACTCTGCATGGCGAGATCACTGATCTTTTCAATTTAACTGGTTTTCTCCCTCATAGAAAACTGCCCATCCGGTACTTACTATGACGTTAATTACAAAAACTGCTCAGACTGTCCACTTAACACATACAACACATACACTGCTGCGGTTGGCCAATGCACGGTTTGTCCTGAGAAGACTTATACCCTTGCTGTTGGGAGTAAAAATATCACTCAATGTTTAGGTGAGTAAAGTATACTATTTTATAGAGTTCGATCTAAAATGTCGCATAGCAGATCATACGTGGTAAATGTACATGTGATAGACTTGGGGAAAGATATTGTCTCGTCTTCTCGCCAGCGAGGATGGAAGATAAAATTCTGAGTCTCCATTACGAATGGAACCTAAGATCTTCGAATTTCTCGCTCAGTTGCTCTATCAATGAGCTATAGAGACCCTAAGGCCATTGGTAGGTCTATCTCTGATATTGTTTTTTATACATACACACCTGTACTGCAAGGACTGGCGATGCTGAAAGCGTCATGTATGTAGATGGTAGACGTTAAGCTTAGTTATGAGCCAGAAAAAGATTTTTTTCCTGTTTTTTTTTTTCACGAGTTATGGATTAGCTTCCCAATAGTAATAGTCCTATTGGGAAAATGGGATAAACGCAGGATGGATAGGCCAATTGGCTCGAGTACAGTACAGACGAGTAATATAATTTTTAGGATGTTCTTTCGAGAGTATTAAGAAACTTGGTCAACTTTCACTATAGCTGCTTGCCAACCTGGAGAGTTCTCACCCACTGGCCTCGCCAACTGTGCACAATGTCCCTTAAATACTTACCAGTCTCTTCTGCGACAGACGTCGTGTATTGCCTGCCCAGGATCATCAGTCACTTTGGGATTTGGCACCAACTCAATCAGCGGATGCGGAAGTAAATATCTGTTTGGGTTTTGATGTTGCTGTTGTTTTTTATTTCTCTCTTCCGTTTGTTTTAATTTTTATATTTTACTCATTCAAACGTCCATTCATCGTTTTAGTCATCACCATATTTATCGTCATAACCAACTCATCATCAATATTATCATCATTGTCACTTTCATCATAATCATTATTATGATCCATCAAGTACTTTTGCTCGTGCATGATTGGTCTAAACGCAGCGCGTGACCGAATATCCCTCAGCTAAAACTGGATGATATCCAAGAATATCACCCATGCGATATTGCACTATTTTCAAGCCTTACGTCCACTATGATGCATCGATAGGAGACAATGGTGTTTTCTTATGCCCATAAACAGTGCACCTTGAAAGAATCACTCACGTTTCATTATTGATTTAATTTATTTTATTTTCCATTTGTTTTAATTTTTATATTTTACTCATTCATACGTCCATTCATCGTTTTAGTCATCACCATATTTATCGTCATTTCAGTGCCGTGTGCTCCTGGAACATATTCTCAGACTGGGGTTGAACCCTGCTTACCCTGTGCTAAAGGGACTTATCAACCCAACAAAAAGCAAACTAAGTGCTTATCATGTGATATTAACAAATCAACTTATGGAGAAGGTGCTTCATCACTGAGCCAGTGTATCGGTGAGTGACATTAGCTCTCGCAAACCATTCAAGACTATTGATTGAACTCTTGTTTCTTTAAATTCTGAATTGTTTCTTGGAAGAGGAAAAATACTTCTGTTGCTTTGTAAGAATGGCCGTAATCCATTTTGTGACAGGCATGTAAAATATCCAACTCATTAACATAATTTCGCATGACAGCGATTGTGAACTGTGCTTCGAGTCCATGCAACAACGATGCTACGTGCGTTGAAGTTGCCCAGGGATACAAATGCAATTGCAAACCGGGCTTTGCCGGAGCAAACTGCGAAATCGAAGAGGATGAATGTCTCTCAAGTCCGTGTGCAAAAGGATCTACTTGTGTTGACAAGGTAAGATATCAAGTCTTTGACGTTCCATAGTACATGTCATCTTCCCTATTGTGTCCTGTTTGAACGATGATAAATGTACGCATTAGAGGTTCGAGTATCTAAACGTGTGACTTATAGAGAACGAAAAGGGATGAATGAATATTGATGACTTGGGTAACATATTTTCAGTACTTATTCTGAGACTATAGTGCGAGGTTATCCTATGACCAGCCTTTCCTTCCCAAGAAGAGGATCGGAAACATTCACATTATCTAGCCCAGTTGTACCCTATTGTAAAAGAAAGATTAAGAAAAAGAAAAAAAAGCAAGTCTACATGGGATTTATCATTATACTCCTTTACATCGCTGTGCTTTAATTTAACTTCAGCCCCTCACCCTCAGTGTACGATATGTATTATGTTCGGGGGCAGAACCGCGGTCGATTAGGTTCGATCACCTTCTCAACTGATCATTTGGGGAGCAGAGATGGCGCACTAGTGCTGAGAACACTCGCCTCCCACTACTGTGGCCCAGGTTCGATTCCCGGACCTGTGCGTTGAGTTTGTTGTTGGTTCTCGTCCCTGCTCCGAGTGTTTTACACCGGGTCCTCTGGTTTTCCTCCCTCCACAAAAACCAGCAATCCAAATTCCAATTAGATCTGGAAACAGTGGACAAAGAAGAGCCACCCAGTGGAATGTCCATTGCTAAATTATTTATTTATTATTCATTATTAATACAGATAAATGCGTATGAGTGTTTGTGTCCTCCTGAGTACACTGGGGTACATTGTGATGTCAAAACAAGTAGCTGTGACAGTAGCAAATGCGCTGCTGGTGCACAGTGCGTCAATTCACCAGAGGGACATGAATGTGTCTGCCCAGATGGATACGAAGGACAATTTTGTGAGACAAAAATCAATGTAAGTCAAAATAAAAAAAAACAAACGACTAAAAATAATCACGGTACCGACCTCTGGGTTATATTTGAATTCTTATCACCTGCGTTCCCCCACCATGCGGTATTCATATGTATTTTGTATCCTTAACAGGCAAGAATCTATTCATAAAGTGAAAAAAAATCCAATAGTTATGAACAAACCCTAATGACAAATTCGTCTCTGGGACCATAACTAAGAATAACTTTTTTCGGTTGATTACAGGGATATTATGGCCCGGTTAGTTTTTTTCTCTTTTCCTACAGAGGATAATTCATAGGAAAAAAAATGTATTCAATATTCACTAGTACAATTTTGTTTCCACATCCAAGGAATGCAAAGCAGCACCATGTAAGAATGGTGGAATTTGTTTGAGCAAAACCTCCGCATTCCAATGCATCTGCCCCACAGGCTTCAGTGGTAATCTGTGCGAAAAGAATGAAAATGGCTGTCTTCCAGACTCTTGCTTGAATGGTGGGACTTGCAAGGAAACCAGCTATGGTCCAGAATGCACTTGTTTGGCAGGTTTTGCCGGCACAAAATGCAAAATTAATATCAATGAGTGTTCAAGCTCACCGTGCCTGAACAACGGACACTGTGTTGATCAAACAAATGGTTACAAGTGTTACTGCAAACCTTCCTTCAAGGGATCTAACTGCGAGACAGGTACGTATTTCAAGGATAACGCCAGGGCTTTCAAAATTTAAACTAGACGCAAAGCTACGTGAACTCGGGCTTTCCAAGAAAACATTGATAAATACCGACTTGCTCTATACTTTAATTTAATCGTCCTTTGATATACCCTCACAGAACAATTCAACAAATACTTCTCATGTTGTGTAACTTTATTTAATCTTATCCTCTTCGTGTTAAACTTACAAGCATTCTTTGTGACTCTTTTAACCTTCACATAACGACGTAGTCAAGAGGACCGGTATGTTTGGACGAATACACTCACAAAAAAATTCCTTCAATTTTCTGCCCTTACTTAGGACTTTTCAGAGCAGCTTCTGGTATTCTACTCGGTTCTCGATCAGGTTTAATAAACGGTTGTGTTTACATGTAAACATAATATGAAATAACTCGTTTGATATAGCAGGTTTCGCTTGATATTTCTCGATGGAAGGTTCACTCGTAAAGGATCGCTCGTAAATTGATCTCTCGTAAAGTTCGCGGACCGACCCGTTCCCATCGAATTTCTTTAGCGTACATTAAGCAAGGAATTGTACAAGAAGGCAGCCATTGCTTTAAACCATGGGCTCTAGGGTTCGTTCTACACATGCGCTTACACTTCACGCATGCACTGTAGTGGAACTGCGTTTTGTGACTGAACGCAAAAAAAAAAATAAAATAAAAAAACCAAGCCGAATTTATACCTCGGGCGTTTGCTTCGGAAAGCCCGAGTAATTATTTCTGTTTCATAACCAATGATTTGGCAAAAATTTTTTTACAGGAACTCAAAAATTTCTTTAAAAGACGGATATTATCTGTGAAGAATTTCTATACTGAAATTTTTTCTGTTGCACACATAAAGTTGTTTTCAGTAGAAATGAAGCTTACCTGGAGGACGCCGTAGTTGACGGAACAGATATTTGAGTTTCTCGAAAAAATCTCCTAGCTTTTTCTAGCTCTTAAATTAGCTCTATACCTCACAAAATCTTCTTTTCTTTGACTTTTTCTCGAGGGACTTCTACGAGATGATGGAAGTTGCAACCAGTGAAGTTAGGTTAGCATAAATTTCTCATAATATGCATTTCCTTGCAGAAATTTCCACTGACTTTGACATGGAGTTCGATAGAACACAGGGTCGTGGATTAGCTATCTTGGAAATGCGTCAGGAGCTTAGAGCGTTTTCTGTCGCTTTCTGGATGAAAGTTGCCAACAGTGAGGTTAATCCTGGAACTCCTTTATCATATGCTGTTAAAGTGGGAGGTATTGTAATATTTCCAATTTGCCGATAATCAGGCTTATTAAAGCAATTTTCGATTGAATTGCAAAAGCAATCCGGGATTTCTTCATGTTTAGTTTACTTCGTTCTATGATTGATCCACTCAGTTAACCAATCGATGCAAAACTAAAACCAATTACGACTTTCTCGCTCACGTTTTCCCGCGCTTAACGCAGTGGCTCTTGGAGGTATTCCTTTCTTTTGATTGGCCGTTGGTTTTGGGACGTTCAATCGAAGAATGCTCTATTAAGTACTTAAAAAAAACTATCAAGCATCTCAGACAAGAACCAAGCATTCTGGGGCACGTAAATCTAGCACTCAAGGTATAAACGTCAGTCGATGAGATGGTGAGCGCCACGTCCATGACAGAACGGAAAATTCGTGCACTGTAAGTACCCTTCCGTTGACCCATACAGGCTTTGTATGGGACTACCGGAGGGTACTTACAGTGCACCTTTTCTGACTTAAATATTAGATCCTACACTATACTCAGTGACCTCGGCTGGGATTCCTTGGAGCGGAGGCGCTCTAAGCAACTAGCAGTCATTTTCTTTAAGACTCTCCATAACCCTGCTCCGACTCGTATAAACAATCTTTTAAAATCTATCTCCAGTATTCACTCGCATAATCTAAGAAAGTCAAAACACAACCTTTTCGTTTCTAGACAGAGTACTGAAGCGGGTAAGTGAAGTTTTCAGTATCGTGGTTCCGTTTTATGGAACAGCCTGCCCTTGAGCGCTAAGCTACAGCCCATTCTTCGTTCCTTTCAGTCATGTATTTGATTATTATTACACGACTCGGGATGTCAGAGGGCCAATAACTAAATTCAACCATTCAAAATGCTCTATTGCCGGTCAATATTCTCTCCGTATTGGACCGGGCACTGTCCCGAATGGTCCCGAATCATACCGCACTTGTGCCGCTTTGAATTTCAGTCGTGTAATAAATCTCTTATTAACCAAGCTTGCTCGGGACCGTACTGGAAGAATATCGGCCCGAGGTCTTTTTTGTACGGACCGAGCTGCGCTCGGTCCGTACTGTCAAGATCTCGGGCCGATATTCTCCCAGTACGGCCCTCGCGCTTGGATAATAAGATATATATATTGATAAGTAGCTATAAGTAATGAAATCGTCTTTATAGTATAAGTAATGAAACCGTTTTTATAGTCGTTTTAAAACCTTGCACATATAATTAATTTAGTTAGATATATTATTGGTTAATTAATTCAGTAGTTAGTTTGTATTTAGAACACGGCTCGATGGACGAGCATGTAATATGAATTGATACCGTGTATAAATAACATTTTACTACTACTACTACGCATTTTCCGTGCTGTCACGTTAATTTCTAAAGTTAATCATGTCTGAACAAGAAAAAGTCCAAATCATGCAACTTTGTTAAATGGTACATTTACCAAATGGTAAACACCACAGCGTACACTATTGAGTTATGGATGCACGCGGGAGGCTGCTAAGCACGAAAGAAGCGTAAGAGTTGCTCGAGGCGATAGCCGCGAGCGACTCTAGCTTCTTGAGTGCTTAGCAAACCTCCCACGTGCATCCATAACTCAATAGTGTACGCTGTGGTGTTTACCATTTGTTTTATAACATAACATTGATACATTGTAGCTAAAGAGTTTCCTTTTATTTAACAAATCTTACGTGACCAGAAAAAAACAAGCGCGCGCGGAAAACTAGTCTTTGCATATGCTCACGTCAGCAGCGTACACCCATGGGCAAATGGAGGACGCTAAATTGACCAATCAGAGCGCGCGCTTTACTTTGGTTATGTTATAATTTGTGTTTCTTCAGAAAAAATCGAGGATAATGCTCTCGTCATTCATGACTATAATGGGTTTAACATTTGGGTCAACGGACAGAAAGCTTCCACGAACGTAGCAGCAAATGACGATAAATGGCATCACATGACAATGACATGGGAAAGTTCAACTGGAACATGGAAAGCGTACAAGGATGGAAGTCTCGTCAGGCAAAGTGATCCGGCTGAGCCTTTTCAAAAGGGACAGGTTAGTCCTGTGGTTGTACTGATCTGACGGAGAGATCAAACGGAAATCCTATATCGCCTCTCTTATATCTCTTATTTATAAAACAATCGACAATACTACAAATATCGTGATCACTATTGCTTTCATACCACTCGCGCATGACAGAAACATAGTTCTTTCCTTCACCCCCAACACAATTCTGCACACCTTACCCTTCACGTGACGTGGGCCCCCAACAATTAATTCCCATTCCCATCTTTTAGGGTTGCCCACTTTGAAAAGAGATACGGGATAGGGCTAACGCGTTGGGAAGGGAATGAAAAAATCTTAAGTAGGCGTGGTGAATCATCTCAACGCGTTAAGCAAAGTTCCTCTAGGGCAAAAGGATTGTAGCAAATGTAACTAATGGTTGGTCTTTTTTTTTTTTTCCAGGTCATTGCAGCAGGAGGATCTTTTGTTCTTGGACAAGAACAAGACGACCTGGCAGCCAACTTTAGCGCAAATGAAGCTTTCATTGGAAAAATGAGCCAGATGAACGTTTGGAGTTATGAACTTACGGCTGGAGATATCGCAGACTTGGCTCGACACGCAGAAAGCCTCCTAGGAAATGTCGTTGGATGGTCTGATTTCTTTGATGTAGCCAATAGCGGTATTAAGAAGATTAAACCGTCCGCAGCACGAACCGGTAGGTGCAACTGACACTCTCATTCGCGAAAGTTATTATAAAATATTTAATGTATCTATTATCTTGTATGTAAATAAAAGCAGAAGTTATAGAATTCTTTGTTCTCAGTTCAGTAGTTTTTTTTCTGATGTTTTCTTCCTTGTGCATAATTTTCGAAAGATGTATACGTATAGAGATAAATTATAGGTAAGAAGATGCAAACTTTCTTGACAGCAAAAAGTGTTCATTGAGCTGTGCTATTTCACTCGTTTTCAATACTGCATCAAATTACACTGCATTTTGCATTGATGCGGAATCATTTTGCTGCATTGGAAAGAATTTCATGGGCAAGATCATTTTTCTATCTATTTTTTTTTTTATTTTTTTTTTTATTTTATTGACAACAAACAATATCGGTAGTCGAATCAGTAACTGAGGAAAAATACTTTGATCAATGAGAACAAATTGTAAGCAAATAGTCCTCACAACCCATGCGCCAAAGTGCAGACTGGTTGAGGATTTAAAAGAAAAACATTGATTGTATGTTCGATAAGATACATTTGCTTTTTATTATTATAATTTTCAGTCTATTATTTACTTAATTGTTGTCATTTTTGTAATTTAGAAAACAAATGCTGGACTGCGTGGCTCAACAATGACTCACCCACCTCTGGTGCAGGGGACGCGGAAACTCGCGCAGGTGCATGCGCGGGACCCGGTCCATTCGATTGTCAGGATATTGAAGGAAGATCAATGCCAGACCTTGAATTGAATTTGACAAGTACTTGCTCAGATAGTGGTATCACGTGTTTGAATAGTGATCAAAGAACTGGACGCAGCTGTCCTGACTTTAAAGTTCGATACGTCTGCACGTGCCCAGGTAAAAAACCTGTCTTCCTAGTTTAGAATTTTTTACTTCCTTGTTTATTTCAGAAAGCAGCAGCGAAATCTTAGTGCTACTATACAGGATCATGCTATGATTTACATTGTAAATCAATAGCTTGTAATCACTTATTAGTGTCCCCACACAAACGCAGAATGATGAAATCAAGATATGCTTGTTTGTTTTTTGCGTTTGTTTGTTTAGCCAAGCAAGGTGTTTACTACTCTAAAAATTATTATTGCATGATAATCTAACAGATACAGCCAACTAACCGAAATATTTCTCAACAAACAGCAAATAGTGCCTGCAACAGCAATCCATGTGGTGCTCACGGTACATGTGAGACCCTTCCAGTTGGTTATAAGTGCAAATGCCAAGCAGGATATGAGGGTCGCCTTTGTAACACAGGTATGAAAAGTTATAGAGATGAGTTATATCCCTCACCCTCTTACCAAATGCACACATTACTTTCTTTCTTGCCTTCGCACTGATTAGTACACTCCAAGTACACACAACTTAAGTGTTAGTATTCAACTTAATGTGCACAAACATTGCTGAGGAATAGTCTGCACAAACATTCCTGATGAAAAGCGTATAAATATCAAAGGAAGGTTTATTGAGGTAGATACGGTATTCCAAAAAGCTAATGTTTAAAACCTGATACTTTGGTTTTTAATAGTCATTTTTTCATAAAGTTTTCTGCTGAATTAGTGCAATACCTTCTTTAAAACTCATCTCTTTGCTGGAGCAATGAATGTGTTAAATAATTTATTGACAGCTCTGAAGTGTCCATGTCCTGGGAAAATTGCACATGGCTTGTACAGTGGCAGCCGAAAATTGGGTGGTAAAATAACCATTCATTGCGGTACTGGATTCAAGGCAAGTGGAACGGCAACGCTGAACTGTGTGGGGGGAAAATGGGATGCACTTGTTCCACAATGCATAGGTAAGAATATATATATATATATATATATATATACATTGCTGAAAAAAAAATACGTCATCATAGCATGTAACTCATAAGACTACTGGAGGCTATCGCAGATCTAATGCGCTCAAAATTAAGGCCAGCTTTCGCAAATGCTGTCCATGTTGATGGCACACAGAGACTTGAAAAGAACCGAAACTGCGGTAAACTCATCAAAAATGAGACTATTTTTAGACAAGAAAAGTAGATGAAAACGTTTCTTTTTTTTTTTCCACAGACATTGATGAATGCTCCACAGGACAGGCAAACTGCTGACAAGAGTGTGTGAACACCTTGGGAAGTTACAAATGCAGGTGCACAGCGGGATATTCCCTTAATCAAGACGGAAGCTGTTCAGGTAGAAATGTTTTAAACGAAGAAGTCGCTATTAGAATGAAAAATATGATAAATTATATGTAAAAAAGAAAAAGAAACAAATGAGAAAAAACAGTACTGCCTTTTTTTCAACCTGAGATCTTCTGCCAGTTGCACTTGAGCTTTGTCAAAGGTGCTAACGTAAACTTTGCTTTTGGAAATTGAGTGAAGTAGAATTTTAGGCATTTTGTGGTGAAAGCATATGTTGCCCACATCAGGATATGCATTCACAAAGACACACTCACTAATTGTTGAAAGTTTGATTCTTTTCACTATTTTCTTTTTCCGTCGGTCGTTTCTTAAGAGCTAATACTCGCTCCTCCCTCAGTGAGGGCACAGTCATAAACATTTTCTTCTTCATAGAATTTTAGTTAACTCCGTTTCGATGCAGCAATCACCCAAGAAGATATTAAGGCTAGTTGGTATTCTAGCAGTCAAGGAAAGTAATAGGATTACATGTAATAATAAACTTCGGATATGACGCGTGCTCAAGAAGAAAGGGAGAAACACTCCACCACGTCTCGTGTTTCCCCTTCACTTCTTTCGTGCTCTAGCCGCTTCCTGCGTGCTTTTCAATTGAACAGAACACAGTGAAGGCTTCTTTATTTTTTAAATAGCTGTTTGGAATTGACTCCCTCCGTCCTGTTTACATTTATCAATCAGATATAAACGAGTGCAACTCCAATAATGGCAACTGCCAGCAGAGCTGTCATAACAGTGTTGGTAGCTACCGCTGTACATGTGGATCTGGGTACACCTTAATGGCGGACGGTAGATCTTGTGCAGGTAAGGCATGTGCATAATTAATTAATTTTCAAGTCGTTTCAATCAATGATCCAGATTGAAAAGGAAGAAGCAATCCAATTTTTTCAAGTTTATGGGACTTAGAATTAGTTCTCAAGATGCTCTTACACCAAGCTGTCAAGATGACTTCTTTAATTGAGGTCATACAGTCATACGTTCATTCAAGGTATCTACATGAAGATGGGAAGATTATCATCAGACATGGCGATTTGAGTAAAAGATAAGATATTGCATTTAATGATACAGGTGTACGAGTGCTTGAAGCCTTGTGTTATCCCTTAATAGGTATTTGGAGATGCTCGTACCACTGATTCAAACTTAGTTCTTATTAACCAAGGGGCAGGTATGTATGGGAGAATCTTGACCGAGATTGCCAGTACAGATCTAGACCGAACGCAGTGAGATCTGTACCAGCGACCGAGGTCAAGATTCTCCCATACAGACCGACCAAGTTCGGTTAATAAGATGTTTATTATATGGCGGTGTCTTATGCGCCAATTTTTTATATTCTTTGTTCATTTTTTTCTAGACCGGTCTAGATGACAGTCTAGATGGGAAAATCTAGACCGCTGTCAATATTGATTTCAGCCAATCAAATTCGTGAATTCGGTAGTTCCCAGTCCTTGTGAGACACTGCCTTATAATAATCTTCGAATATAGATCGTATGATTTACATTTTGAATAAGATCCACATATAATAACTTTATCCTTCTTCTAACGTGTGTATTTTTAGTATATTAGTTGTCTAAAACTGAAATTTCCTAATGCATTGAATCAACCCAAATTCTCAACCAATAACTATAGTCCAACAGAACAGCCATTTAAGGCGAGAACACTTTTACTGCAGGAGATTGATTATCTTCCTTACCTCTCCTAGATGACAATGAATGTTCAACTAACTCTGGATTGGGACCGTGTGAGCAGATTTGCGTGAATACCTTCCTGGGACATAATTGTCTATGCAGGCCGGGATATACTCTCAACAACGATAAAAAAACATGCTCAGGTAAGCTAGGCTTCATTCTTTTATTGAATAAAAACAAACAAAACAAACAACTTTATTAGACCTTTAAACTTCCTAAGTTGTACTGACATCTACTTAATTATTATTATTAATCTAATTATTATTAATCTAATCTACACGTTTTACAAGATATCAACATTAATCGGTTGTCAAGCATGTTCATGTTCATGTTCATGAAGACCATTCACTCCCGCAAATAGCACAAGCTAGTCGGGGCAGGCGGGAATTAAAAGAATGAACCGACCATTAGAAAGGCAAACATGCACACCGACTGTCTGACTGAATGACTGACTGAATGGAACTCTCTTCCTGACCATCACTGCCCTATTTCTGATTTTAATTATTTTCGTCGACTGGTATCTACTCATAATTTTTATGAGAACACTCAGTGGAATTTCAATCTTCTATTGCAGTACACTAAGTATGTAAAGTTATGAAGTAAGTTGTCCAGGTAGTTAGTTATTTTGCTTGTTATATAGAATTAACTCGTTATTATATTAAGTTATTCATGTAGTTAGCTCTGAGTATTAGCACGTGCCTGAATGAATGATTTATGGGCTAACTGAATGATAAAATGAATGAATGAATGAATGAATGAATGAATAAACCAATGGCGGACAGAAAGGCAGAATTAAATGACCATAGGTTAAGAGGGAACACATTTGCACCAACAATATGCGTTTCAAAAGGAGGTGAAGTGATTGCCTCAAACTTTAACATTGAAATTTGCAAGATGCCTTAAACTTAAAATCTCTTGAAATTTGTTATTCTTTCATCAGCAAACTCTTGTCCAGCGATATCAAACTTGGCTAATGGGAGACTTTACCCAGCTAGTCCCACGACAACCCTGGACAGCAAAGTGAAATTTGAGTGTAACGTTGGTTACACATTGAAGGGAGCCTCTACCAGAACATGTTTGGCTGATGGCGAGTGGTCTGGAGTTGAACCTCGTTGTGATGGTGAAGCTATTTCTAATTTCCGTCAAATTACATAGAATGAACTCTAATCTGAGGACGAGATCAGACCACGTAAAAATCTAAACCATCTAAACATTTCTTGGCTTTTTTTTTCTTTTAGGTGTTAAATGCATCCGTCCTGGAGACCTGAAGGACGGAACAAAAAGCACCTCAGCAAATTCATACAACACTGTTGTCACCTACACATGCAATCAGGGGTTCCAGTTGGTTGGATTAGCAACTCGTACATGTCAGGCCGACGGATCCTGGAGCGGAGAACATCCTCGCTGTATAGGTATAATGAGTAACGTTTAAACCTCGATAAAGTAAAGGTACATCTATGCGCGAAATACACAGCAGGAATGGTGACGCAAAACCAGGTGTTGTAATCTTAACTGAAGGTAATGTCTGTTTCCTTAGCTGCTGACTGCCCTGAGCCTTCAGCTCCAATGAATGGGAAGCTGATTGGTCTTCAAAGGAAAGATGGCGACACCATCAGATTTGAATGTGATCTTGGTTACAAACTGGTCGGTCAATCTTACGCCATCTGCCAAGGAAATGCCTGGAATACTCCCACACCCTCTTGTAACTGTAAGTACTGCCAGCAGAACTGATTTTAAGATAAGGAAAGTTTTGTCAGTGATTCGTATAAAACAAGTAATTTTTCTGACTTTCATTGTGATTTGTTTTAATAATCACTTTCAGTGCTAAAGAACAATGTATTTCTTCTTTTTTGTATGCTTCCTGTTAAGCTCTTAGTCTAGTCGACTGTCCTCATTAGGTTTATAAACGGCCATCAAACAAAACAAGGCAGCTAAACACTCCATTTGTTGAATAACCTCTGAAACTACCACGGACAGAAATGAATCTAACTGATATCTCCCATCTAGTGGTAAATTGCGGTCAACCTCCAGCAGTGGCCAATGGCCAACATCATGGCTCAGACTATTCCTACGATGCAAAGGTGACCTTCTCTTGCGTAGCCTCAAACTTCAAGCTGTCAGGTTCAGAGGAGAGAATATGTCAGGCTGATGGTACATGGAGTGGAA